GGTCCTCAGTAACCTGGCCTGGCCCAGCAGCCATCGCGGAGGCCATGCTGCATCGGACCTCAGCGCGGAACAAAGAGTTGTTCGTGACGCGGAGTGTCTCGGCATGCCGCCGCCACAAACGCTCACCCGCCAGGCGCTCGGGATCGTCTCGATCCAGCTCAAAAAGTGCGTCCCTCATTTCGATGGTTCGACCGGCCAGAAGCGGGCCGAAGTCAAACACATTCTGAGAGGTTATGAATTGCTTCCTAGAGTAACCGCCACGTGGCCGATTCTTGACCCTCCTCATAAAGACGTTGCGGGAATCGTTGTTGATCTTGGGGAAACCAGCGAAGCCCGTCACGTCCACGAAAGTCTGCACTGGTGAGAATCCTCCGGCCACAATCTCGAATCCCAACTGTTCTGTGAACGTCCCCGTCTTGGTGACACAGAACTGCACAATGATGCGCTGTTCCGCCTTTGATTGTATAACCCATCGAGATTGCTCTCGAAGTTCCTCTATACCTTCGTCGTTCACGATAGGAGTCAACAACGTGAAGAGACCGGAAGGTGCTCGGGCCTCGCGTTGAGTCGGTCTCCGGATAAGCTGTACTGTTTTCGAAGGGGGCAGTCGACCATACCGAGGGAACGAAGGCGGTTGGACAGTTGCTAGAATCTGCTCTACAGTCTTCGTCAGATCGGGTTCCTCCGCCGTTATCAAGATCTCATGCCAGGTCCTTATTCGGGATGTGCCCGGCTTTTGAACAGAAACTTCTTCAACGGCGTCATCGTCTCCGTTCACTGTTGTCTCCTCCCCAGCACCGACCTCAGCAGTGTCCCGGCCATCACTGGACACCTCTTGCCCCAGCGGCGTAGGATGTAGTCTATTGATGCGTGCAGACAACTCATCCATATACTGCCCAGCTTTCGCGACCGGTCCCTCCTCCTTAAACCACTGCACGAGGGCTTCCAACTCTTCCTTTCTTCGGAGTAACTCCGCCCTGGCAAGACTCTCCACATCGTTGGGAGCATCTTCTCGCTCCTCCTGCTGTTCCGACTCCGCCAGACTTCCATTAACCTTGAGTAGTTCCTCACCCACAACCTCCTCAAGCCTACTGTAATAAGCAGTTAGAGCAGTTTCCGGGGTACTGCCCTCATCAGATGCGCTATCAATACGGAAAGTGATGAACTTCACACTCTCCTCTCCCGGAATGGCTGCCAGGATGCATTCCACTGTATCGTCACCTACGTACTTCGAGCCTTGGGAGCAGCCGTCCCAAACAACTCCGGCATTGCAATCGGGCAGGTCAAGACGGTATCTCATAGCAGCAACAACGTCATCTCTTTCGAGGGTGGGGACTTCCTCAGCAGATTCAGCTCGAGTATCGCCCTGCGCGTCCCGGATTTTCCGAACGAGCTTCTCCGCTACGTAATCATCTCGTATGCTCTTAGGGTTACTGAGAACCCAATCGATGCACTCGTCTACAGTGAGGCGTTTCCTCGAATGCTCCACTTCAAGCGCGTGAGCAATCGTAGACTTGCCCGTCTTGGGTGGTCCAAGGAGAATAACAGACAGACGTTCCTCTGGAGGAACACGATTAGGATAATCCTCCTCCCTTTGTTCGGGCATTTCATCGCCCTCCTCATCCAACAGGACTTCAGTGGTCAACCCATCCGGGACTTGTTCTGTTGTCGGCGTCTCTACCTCTAGCACCTAAGGAGTATACAGACATGACCGGAGGATAACCAGAGCATCTCCATTCATTGGTATGAGTCACTCCCCCGCATCTCACCTCGCCCTCTTGGGCGGCCTGGGATCTGATGCGCTCGACGTGCTGAGCTATGCGGCGCCATATTGGTGTCCCCACTTCCTTCAACGGCATCTCCGCAATGCCGTGTTCATCATAGCCATCATACTCACTGAGCATCTTCGCCTCAGTAATATATTCCTGAGCGCAAAAGCCCGAATGATCAGTGTTGGAATATATATTCGCTTTCCTCAGCTGAGCTCAGGAGTTTCCTCACTAATTGTAGAGGGTTCCGTATGAATTCGGCTGGAAGTGCACTAAGCATTTTCCAAAAATTTCCTCAGAATTTGGATATTAAACCACAAGCATATGTAGTTGACCATGAACATATTCCCCCCCTGTCGAGCTCACCCTGTCGAACTCCAAGCTGTATATCTCAATTGGATACTCGGTGGGATTGTGAAGAACCATCTCCTGGCGACAAGGCGGATCGCTCTGGTAGGGCAAGATGGGACCAAGCTGGAAGAAGGATGAAGGCGTAACGTTGACCTGACCAAGAGAACTCCGCGGAGGTCCCAAGTAAAGATCGTCACTTCCAGAGCACTCCCAAAGCCGCATAGATATATGACAACCGGGTGCTTATTGTCCTTAATGCGTAATGCTAACTTCTCCTCGAAGGCTCCCACTGCATTGGGCGTGAAACATATCTGAGACACGGCTGCTGGACACCCGCAGAATAGAAACTCCTAGTTCAACGCTGTTAGCGAACTAATCGTGATTGACAGTGTTATCCACAGTATTGACGACCAACAACTTCCACAGGAAACGTATGAGATCTCATCAGAAGACTCATCCGAACCTACGCTCAGTCAACAAATACCGTTCCCCCCGCTACTCACTGAGCGGTACTATGAATAGGAGTACCCTGTGAGTAGTACTCACAGAGGCCAATAACGCCGATCAAACGAGTGTTAGACTATCGGTCGTAGGACTGATGTACGGACCAACGGCCCTCTTACTTCCACAATAGAGTCTTGGCCAGGTTCAAGTACCCCGAAGGTCTGAGTCATCCCGAAGGGGAGCTTCCATGGCAGAGGAGGAGTACCAGACTTCGACGGCACTCGGTAAGACCACTCGACCGGAACATGCTTGTCATTGACCAGTCGCAGGTAGCGCCTAAGATACGTACCGAACCATCTCGACGTGTTCATTGTCGCTGCTGATACAGCGACAGAGGCCCACTAAGAAGCTCACTTCGCCCGCTGCCCGACAACAACTTTCCCAAAGTCAACTCTGCTGACGGGTAGTGTAAGCTGTGGGACCTCGTGGCGAGCTTTGATATGAATAGCATAACTGATGGCAAGATCAGAGCTTCACTGGCCCGACCGGATCGGAAGACTAGATAACCTCATACCTCGGCCCGTCCCGTATAGGCAGCTTCCACAGCAGTTCCCTCGTACCCTCCTCAGCTTCCTTGGGCAACTCTGCTATAATCGCCATACTCAAAGTCCCTCCTGATGCAATGCTTCCAACCTGGCAAGGGTATCAACAACGTAGTCAAGAGACAAATCTCACAGGTTCCGGGGTGACGAAGAAGCCCGCGTCCACGAGCTCCTTTCGGTTGATAGACAATGAGACTTCAGAAGTATGACAGTTATATACCGTAAAAGGCTGTCGACGACTATGACCCAAGACAATGTCGCCAAAGTCACAAACATAACTCCCGGCCACAGTCTGCCCAGTTAACTGAATCGATCGTGCTCAGAAAGGTGCCTTCAACTGCGGTTACCACCTCTCGAGTCCTCTTGCGACTGATTGGCGCCACAGACGTCGACTCGCCCTGTGCAGTCTCGAGAACTATCAAGGCATCACGAAGGCTTCTTCTGTCCACTTCGACTGCGCACCTGTCAAGAATTCGGACCTACTGAACAGCAAGGGCTCCCATGGGGCTCACTTCAGCGCATGATGACTCAACGGTACTACTGTATGCGGCGGTGCGCTGACCATCCCACGAGACGGACCCATACGGCTCATAGTAGAGGAGGCCACCGTGGGCGCAACTGGTTTGTTCTTCTGGGCCGCTGCAGAGCTTCTCAGATTCGCCAATTCGGACGTATTAGACATCATGGCACTTTCAGAGGTCGCGAAACTTGTCCAACGTGATGGCCCTTTGGACGGTGTAGTCGTCAGAGGAACCTAGATGATCCCAGTAGTGGCTAGACTTCGTGAAACTGGCTGTTTCAAAATCTTACGTCCACTGAGATCTCCTCTGCGATGTCCGTCACTTTCCTCGCATGCTCCTCCGCGTTGGATCGCGGCAAATTCAAGACCACGGCTGGGTACACCCCGCGGCCTCGAATGCTCACAGTCACCGCAGGTAAATGCGATACTCGTATCAAGAAAGCCTCCGAGATTTCCGAAGGGATGCCTACCGAACAGAACCACCCAGCTTCACAAGACTGCCACTGAAGATTGCGCTGGTCTAAAAGTTAGCATATTGAAGATCAGTGTTTCACCGCAACGGTAGAAATCAAACACACGAATCGATTCTGTGTTTCAACATGAGTCAGCTGGGAACCAGCATCACCTTGACTCACCCGGCAAGAACTTAATTTTCAATCCAGCTTTGCCATCGCCACAGATCTTCCCCGTCTCGGGAGTCACCACTAGCACCCTCCTCCCCATACCTCGTAGATCTACGCTGTAGGATACAGGCACGCAGCCCTTGTTAAATATCATCAGATCTTGCTCGGCGAAGTCGTCGAACTGAACATCACCGAATTCGAGATGAGTTCTATCAATGCGATAAGCAAGATCAGAGGCTTGCCCTCGAAGCTTGATATCGTAGCTCGGACCACCCACAACGTTGCACCTGATGATGCACTCTCGCCAACAGCCAAACGGTACCAGCATACCTCGCAACAGCCTCACAGCGCCGGTCAGGGTTTGCGTTAAAGCGGAAGTATACTGACTCAGTGGCGTGGGCCGGGATGGACCCAGCGATCGGCTGGATGTCGAACTCTTCGTTAGGGGCTACCCTCACGAGCTGAAGTGGCATGGCAGCATCACATGAAGCCGAGCATTGCTAACCCCACCTCATCAGTGGACTTGGCCGAGTCCTCCACTATGATGAATTCCCAGCTGTACTCGCAGGGCACCTCCGTCGTGTTGGTTACCTACACACCAAAACTTATCGCAACACTCCTCTTGAGATGAGCGATCCTACTCGGACCGCCACCTCGGTCACTGCGTGGTTGAACACAGCTCCAAAATCAATATCGGCTTTATCGAATGACAAATTAGGGAATACGACCTCTCCCACCACCTCAACCTGATCGTTCTGAGGGTGGTCCCGGTATGTTATCTGCCATCACGTGCGCTAACTCTGACAACCACACACCTACTGATAGCTTTTGCTCCATCACTGCACTCTGACGATCGACCTTATAGGACGGGTCAAAGTCCACCTCGACTTTCACCGTAGCCTTAGGGTCCAAGCTAACAAATCCTCCCATATTCGCAGCTCTCTCATTAGAAGGCATCCTGGCAATAACCACTGACGTGGACGACAAGCCTCTGCCCTACTACCTGGTGTAGAAAGGCGCCACGGCGTTAACTTGGAAGCTTATAGGTAGGGGGGAAGTGTTGGTCATCGCTAGTGGATGCGTAATCATACTAGTTTCCTTCTCATCTCTACTCCATACGTAGCGGAACCGTACAGTGCTTTCCGATACATGTAAAAGCGGAGCGACGAAATTCGTCTGAAAATCAAGAGGACCGAGGTAAGTCCCATGACCCCATCGTAAGCTCTGCCCGGCGGCACCTTTAGAGTTGGCTGGTAAATCATCTTCCCTTTCTTGTCATTAGCACCAACAAACTCAATGCACTCCGCGACGTCCTCGACGAGGCCCTGCACCGAACTGCATGCTGTAACGGTAAATCTATATCCGGTGTTGCTCGCTAGAGTAGCTGTTCTCGGATAGATCTAAACCAAATCGTAGTCAGCACATAATCATCAGAGTATAGTCGCACCGTATAGGGAACCACCGGTAACTTGGCCTTCCCTAGATCAACCCCATCCTTTATAAGCTGTTTCAATGCCTTCTCTCTTGCCATCTCTCCACGGACCTAGACGCGCGTGATGATAGCAGCGGTATGTGTAGTAGACCTCACCAGCCAAGTCACAGTCCTAGTCTTCCTTCCTGAGTTCTTAAGAACGAGTTCCTTCGTAATAGACTGAGTCGTATACTGAGTGCCAAAATCGATCACACCAAGATCCTCATCGCCAACAATTGTAGTCTCGGTTCCGCGGCACCTGAAAAAATCAACGTCGCGCGCCACAAAAATACCAAATTCCCACTTCATGTCAACAGCCAAGTTTTTCCCTTCTTCAACTACGAAGTACAGGACGTCTTCAAACCTCTGCACCTCATCAGGTCGCAACCTAGCATCATACATTCTCAAATCATTCAAGAGTAGAGATCAACCAACCGATTACTTGACAGTATAGTCGTAGACTTCCTGCGGCTCGAGACGGACCACTTTCTGTTCAGCCCTCCACGGAGACGTACGATTTCTCAATAGCACTCGTACGTGTGCGGGAATACAACAATCGTTGGTAAGTTTAATCGACTTTGACACAACCTGCGACTCAGTCTCGACAGACGCAGTCGAGCTCAACAGAGTAACCGCTTACATCAAGGCACTTTACGCTACCCCAGTCAATGGCCATTGGCTCCGCATAAACTGTCGGACCCATCGAGCTAGCCTCTACCGTTACGAGGTGAGGTATAGGATGCCCTCCGATCTTCACATACCTGAAAGGTAACTCATCGACCCAAGCAGTAGTCCTCCCATCTCTAGTGTTACACAGGGACTTTAATAGAGCCTAGCCTCCTAGCGCGTAAGGTAACCATTACAATACAACTGCTTCCCCCGGGGATTCTTCCCTGTGGCTGATCAACCTCAACATCGGCGATCACCGTGCTGGGATCTACTACGAAAAACAATATTCTCAACGCCTGAGTAAAAACACTCACCTGATTCTGCTGAGGTGTTCGAGTTGATCAATATCTCGAATTTAGCTGCCAGCGACGATGTGTTGCGTAGGACTAGGCGTTTATGGTAGGGGTAGCGAATAAAGACATCTCCATAAGGAAGGATGTCGACCGGATTGAACGTTATCGACGGAGCTTCACATCGAGCCTGAATCACCGACACTACCAAAAACGGTTGCTGATATCAGCCCTACCGATATCGGGAGGGAGAGGAGCCCTTGGCCGACCTCCTCAAAGTCTACCAGTAGGCTCATTTCATATGACTTCACATTCTCAGGGATGAAGTCAACCTGCAGGGCAGACACCACGCGATAGACTTCTTGCCGATCACGAAAAGACCAACTCGAATCAGCTGCTTTCCTGATGGTTCGAGAGTGCCTCGGCTCGGTGTAATATCAAATTCCTTTTCCTCGAGCCGACCGTCCTCAGAGATACGCAGTCCAAAGCCGTAAGCCACCTCGGACCTGTCCAAGCATGCACAGCCCATGAATGCATATACACGTACGTGTTAGTGAGCGTGATAGTCCTGGTGTTGACAAAGCCGAATGGTACCACTCCAAAGTGAATAGACTCCTCATCAAAGATAAAGCTGGGCGCAGTACTCTGTCCTTTTAACGCCAATGATAAAGGCATCACAGTGCCAGTCAGATAACAGTGGAAGACCTGCCCGATACACTAGGCCCAAATTCATCCTCCCCGCAAAGACGCATACCATACCTCGTGGAACAATCCAATTTCCTTAGGATTGAAGCTGATTCCAATGTCAATTTTCTCGCCGACTTCCAGCTCGCCACTGCTAGGCTCGAACACGAATCTAATCATAGTATATTGGAGTTTCACCCTAGTGATACGAAAAACACTAGTGAAATACATATTTCACGACTACTGCATAGTGCGAATATCGCGTTTTTCACCAAGTTTTACGTTACTTCGTGTAAAACGGGTGAGACTCCATGATATTGCTGGCCCACTGGGCCGTACCAATTCGACCCTACCTCGAGCCGAAACATGATTTCCTCGGAACGATCTCGAACTGCGCTGGTATTTGACCACAGTTCACCAACGCGACTTCATAGCGATGAGTAGATGTGACATAAACCTAAGCGATCGCCAATTCCCAGTCATCAACGAGAACCATGCCTGGCACCTCTTCCAGATCCAACTCGCTATGCGAGAAAACCGCCTTCGGACCGATCCCAGTGCCGTACAGGGCCAGAGGTATCCTCTCGACAGACCCCGTAACACTGCAGTACGCTACACTACGGTACTGTATCGCCGCTTTGGGCTCGAACGTCACCTGATACACTCACGCCTGCTACACACGGTGACAAGTAATGCCGATTACTGTAACGATCTTGGAAGCTCCTGGATAAATAGTAGCAACCGCGGGCTCTATAGTAAACGCTTGGTCATAAAACAGCAGCGGGTCGTCCCTGATCTGTTGAGTAATATTTTCATACCTACTCCCGACGATGGCATCACACAGCTTCTCGTGGGTCGACGATAACCTCACTTTATTCGGAGGGCCCGCATTGCAAGTGTTTCCATTTTCGAGTTCTCCATCGCCTCCAAGCTCTTCTCACTGTCACTCTCTGTGCAACTACGACTACTACTCACGCTTGGAGTTACCAGACCATCCAGCTCCACAGAACACCCTGTCATGCTATCCAGGATATTCCGTATCACCGGTGGGTACTCATCATACATTGCTGCTGTCGGTCGACCTAATACCGACTACGTACTATATACTCCCTGACACTCCCAAGTACCCTGGTGGTCCTCAGCAGCAGCAGTGCATAGTGCGAGGGTATAGAGCTGCTCCTCAGTCTGCTCTTTCCCAAGCTGGACAAACACCTTCTCCCTCTCCTCTGCATCCTTCTGGTCACTTGCAAAGGCCCGCCACGAAAATTCGACGATAACATCCGAATTATTGCTGATGACAAAACTTTTCCGCGTACCTTAACGAGAACCACTTTCCGACCATTTCGGTCGCTCCCACAAACCGTACTTAGTGCGATGTAGGTATTGTCCATTTGAATACTTCTGGCGCTGAATTCAACGTCGCCAGTGACTCCTGTCCCCTCGCACTCTACAATGCTCGTCTGAGTTCCGCTGGTCCGATGGTCTTCGCTCGGTAGCGACCAATTGGTCTCCCCTGGGTTGCAATACCTGAGCTGGTTCAGTAACGAGTGCGCTTGTCATCGAACTCACCGTATAGTAACAGTCCCACAGTAGTGTTCCAAAGCAGTCGGCCTGAAACCCAGCTCCAGCTGAACACCCTCACCCGCTTCTACGAAACCGCTGCCGCCCGAGATGCAATAAAATACATCAGAAATTGAATCTGATTACAATAAGACCAACTCATAAGCGCCGGGTAGATACATACCTTGGAGAGAGCGTTCGTGGGGGCTTAAATGGACAGAATACTGAGCAGCTACATCGCCAACGTTCCTCACATATACCACGCGAGACTCGCCGTGTTTGACTAAGACCTACAGACGAAGCGCGCGTGATTCACGGGACGGTACACTCTCAACCGACATTGCTGAAATCGAGTCGTCGGGGAACCTCTAGCTTTGGCACGCCCGCGAAGGCTCGTATAGGGACTATGAATATCTCTCGCTCGGTGACGACTTCCAGATCATGACAGTAATCAGCTCGGGTATCGGGATGGAATTTGATGAGAAACGACACTTCCATACCAGGGGCTACGAGATCGTATCGATCCTTGCCGCTCTTACGAGTAACCTGAGATCGCTTACCCTACAGGAAGATCAATAGGGATGGTATGTACCTTGAAGTGGTCCACTTGAGGAGGTAGAACTTGCACACGCCTCGACACCGTGTCCTTATTCCGCAACGACAATGTCATGCTCAGCTTCTCCATGCCATGGTAGTGAGCGAACTGAATCGCATCATGATCAAGCACTTGGAGAGAAGGCACGCCTGGGCTTACTCGGATCATGGGTGGACTGGGTTCGAATAAAGGCTCGTCCCAAGGGACATTAGTCTCCCTATGCAGCGAGTGGAACGCAATGTCCAGGTTCCGTACGATACGGAACCGCCGCCGGACCGACTTGGTGACATGCTGACCTTCATGCAGACTGTCCCTTGGGAATGTCTCTGAGATTTCAGACACGACCATGAGGAGGAGGAGGAGGAGGAGGAGGGAAAAGAGAGGTAACTATCATAGACCGAGAGTAGCCATTGCTGCCGACTGATTTCAGCACGAGCTCAACTACGTGGCTGATGGTCACGACAAGGGAAGTGCTCATATTCTCGCCACTTAGTTGAAGAGGTAAACCAACGACATAATGCCGATAAGCTATCATCCTCAGATGGTCATGCGCTTAGATGTGTCGACCTCGACAGGCGTAGCAAGGCATATGCGGTAGTGAACCTGTCAGTATGCATGTCCGCATTTCCTCGTAATAATTTCCAAACTTAGTGGGCATAAGTGTCGATCACAATAGGCCAGAGACGAGCTTCCTGATGGATCGAGGGAGCGGAACGATGGGTATAGCCGTATATCTCTTAGGATAGGAATCTCACGGCCCGTCCTTCACTACGAGTGTTACAATCTTCCCACAGAGATCTTGCGCTTGTCGTGCAAGTTGCATGAAAAGTTCATCTAAAAGCGCTTGGAGAGCAATCGTGGTGTTGGATGTCGCTACTATCAGCAGGCTGGAGTAACCAGCGGTAGGCCATTCACCTTACCCTGCACTAGAGGAGGCTACGAGGAGCTCCCAACGCAAGTAGTAGTAGTAGCACAGGTTCATGGGTTAACAGATAGGCAGTGGAAATTTCCTGTGTGCCCTCTTATCGTACTGCACTGTTCACCGTGGAAAATCGATCCGATCGAGCAACCCTCGGGCGAGCTCCTCCGTCTGAAATTGTCTAGGATGCCGCCCGACGAGAAGAGCCGTCCTCATACATCAGTTATTTCGGTGAACTTCCCCGACAATAGCGAAACTCTCGGTGTACGGTGTCACAGTGTAAAACCAATGCTCCTACACCCTTCTGGTGGATCCTTAGAAGGGAACTACTGGGACAATACACACGCCAACTCAGAGAGTTGTGGTATCGTCTCGGCTAGTAGGTGAGGAGAACGCAGTCGTGGGATAGTGTTCGCATCTCTTAGTGGTCCACGCCTAGTCGCTACATCGCTCTACCCTGAGGAATATATTCTTAGGCTAGTAAGCCGTGCATTGACCACTGCGGCCTTCCAGACAGCTTTGGTGGCCATAGCAGTCATCGGTGGTACATTCATCCGCTTCTATGGATTTTTGTAAGGCCCAACTGTGCTGATCGACTGCCCTCCGTCCAGCGTTCAGATCAACTCTCACTTCCCTATAATGTGTAAGTCACCTGGTCATGGTCGCATCCCATGCCCTATTGCGTGGTACTCTATGACAACCACGGTCGTTAAGAGCTCATATGCAGTTCTAAGAGTCTATTGGGACTGTTGTGATGACAGGGGAGCTGAGTTGTCCCCGAGGAACTGCCATTTTTATCACCTTTTTCTCAAGAGTAGACACCGCATGATATTCCTCGTGCAATCACGAGAGATGGAGACTATCCATCATCGTCAATTCGGAAACTACTGCCCGGATCGAGTATGGCTAATAAGGGCGTAGATAACAGCTCTCAAGCTCCTAGATATATATTTTTATTTAAAAAAAATTTATTTAAAAAAAAAAAAACTCAGCCAAGTGCTGGTCTCCTTGTGCTGAGTACGTCGACCTTATAAACAACCCAACTTGCCCTCAGCTGTTGGTTTGTCGCCTGGCCGAAGACGGCCGAGAGCGAGAGAGAGAGAGAGAGAGAGAGAGAGAGAGCCCCCACTGTTTCACGATCGGTAAGTAGTTCATAACGAGGAGCCATTCATAACCAGTAGCATGCTTGACATTCACTTTTTTGATCTTGAGTTCTCACCAAGGGTGGCAAAGGGTCGCAGTAGTTGTTGTCTATAAGGGATGGCGACTGATGACAAGTACGATAGGCAGATACGGCTGTGGGGAGGGCATGGACAGAGGGCGTTGATGGACTCCAAAGTATGCTACTCTACCAGACACCTATGCATAGTAATATGGCTCCCATCAGATCCTGGCGCTAGGGTCGACATCGGTGGTGTCCGAGACGTTGAAGAACCTAGTAATGCCTTTTCCTACATGCCTAGTTGCAACTCAGTCATCATAGGTGCTACCGGGAGTCGGCAACTTCACCGTAGTAGACGACCTCACTGTGTCCGAACGAGACCTCGGGCAGAACTTCTTCGTCCGGAGTAAGACTCTACCACTCTGTGGTGAATACTACTCTATCGTTGCAGGGGAGGATCTGGGCATACCCCGAGCAGTAGCAGTATGCAACCTCTTGCTCGAGCTCAATCCTGATGTCTATGGCCATGCTATTGTGGAGGTACTCCCCTTCCAGCTCGTCAGTTTGCATACGTCCTTCAGAACATCCGAACCTACGTATCACAGCGCCTGCTCAGCCTTCCTCCTGGTGTTGTGCCCCCCTTCAATTTGGTATTGGTATCTATGCACTCTTGCGGCAGTAGGGTCGCTGAGGCTGTGAACGAATGGTGTAAAGCTACCGGCACGAAGATGTTACTTGTGGACAGCATAGGGTGCAATACAGTGGAATCAAGAGATGGTATTTTACGCTTTTTCTATCAGATTTGTCGGTAGTGTACGTACATATTCAGCGAGTCACTGCATCGTTGAGTCCAAAAGGGACACGGAAGGTGGGTTACTCCTGATGGCCCTCAAGGGCCTTGACCCCGGCCTCAGGTGACTTTGGCGTCGACCTACGAATATCACAGCCCTTCCCTGAACTGGAAGCCTTCACTGCCAAGGTACACCGCTGCCCAGCAACTCTGAGTAGCAACTGTGATGGTCGTCAGGTCATTGGCGCTCATGGCGAGAAGCTAGAGGCTCTAGATGGAGTGGAGCATGCTCACATACCCTATGTCCTCTTGCTCATAGCAGCTTTGGCGACATGGAGGTTGCAGGATAGCAGGTGATCAGTATGCGGAAGGTCTCTGGTTCGATTCCCGGTCCCGACTTTTTAGGTCTTCAGAATCACTTCCCTCTACTTCTGAGGATAGGCAAACGATCAAGGACATTCTGATTAGCTGGCGGTAACATTGTCACTCATGTGCGACGCGTAGTCTAAGGTCATTCAGACGCTCTGCAGGGGAGGAGAACTTTGCGGAGGCCATTAAGTTTGTGTGGAAGATCAAGCCCTATACGATCCCGGCTGAGGTGGTCATCATGGAACTGTGCATACATCTAATAGCGTTTCTCAGGTCAAACAAGTGTTAGTTGAATCTCACAGTCGGTTCAACGATTCCTGTTCCAATTTCTGGAGTCTTGCTCGAGCTCTTGCTGAGTTCTCAAAGGTAATATGCTAAGTTGGCTCGGTTGCGGGTCAACTGGAAGCCTTTCAGCGGCATGGGTCCCATTTGCCGTTGAGTGGGGTGGTGGGAGATATGACTTCTGACACTACTACATTCGTATGCATGCAAGAGGTCTATGAGGCCCAGGCCAGGCGAGATCGGGAAGAAGTGGTCAATATCCTCTCACAGCTGGGCAAAGTGAGTTCATATCCTTCTCGGTAGCATGCCCACTTAGTCATTTGCTCTCTTTCAGAATGTCTCAGAGCAATACATAGAGCTGGTGTGCAAGAACGCTTTGAATCTGTGTGTAATAGAGTATACCACTGTCGGCGAAGAGTGGATGTGAGTCGTGGTTCGTTGGGGGGGGATAGGTGAATGGACGGCTCCATTAGGTTTAATGATGGGGACAAGGTGACGGAGCTGTGCAACAGTCTGGAATCAGATCCGGAATCACAGGCTCGGCTGTATCTAGGTCTACGGGCCATACAGGTTAGTCGAGCACCATCTAAGACGCGTTAACAACGGCTGTATAGGTCTTCCGTCTGGAACATAACGATTCATATCCGGGCCCTGATGACGTCGCTGAGCTCGCGAGCATCGCCAACGGTCTCGTACCGCACCTCGCGGACAAAGGGAGCGTCCTTGGTGACAGTCTTGCCCAGGAGCTTGTACGTTTGCCTCCTGCTGAGTGAGTTCCCTTGCAAAGCTGTTTTCAGTGCCGTTATGAAGGCTGTGAACTGCATACAATTAGTGCTGTTATTGGAGGAGTGGCGGCACAGGAAGGGGTGAAGTTGCTTACACACCAATTCGTGCCTCTCGATAATACCTTTGTGTGAGCTGCTGTCTATACTCATGTTGGATCATATTTGGCGGTTGGGTAGGTTCAACGGGATTGTAGGCCGGGCGGAACAACTGACTATGTGATCTACAGTTTCTCCAGTAGTCTTCATGTTGCGTTCAATCTAGCATGAGGATACGAATTGGATAGCAGTATTAAGTCTAAGCTGGATGGATGGCGGTCGCCGACCAAACCCACGTCGCAATGCGAGGCTGCTGTTCGCCTTATTGGACCACGAAGGGAAAGGGTGAGAGAATATAAGATCTCAGATGAGTTCGGCGAGGAGCGGTATATCCGCAGGCATATCTACGATCTACTAGAAGCCTTTGATACGTTGCGACGAGAGAGGAGTATTTCAGCAAATTTGGATACGATGCTGGGCATAGTAATAGAGGAAGTTATTGATGTGAGTTTGGAGGGAATAACCATGTCTCATGGAAAGTTTCAAGTCAGGTGTGTGGCGACTTGGACGACTTCACAGAGGAGATTTTCGTTGGTGAGTTGGCCCGCCTTATGGGACTTCCTCCCTCACCAACGTTCTTGTCAGAAGCAGCTCGGGGTTGTCAGTGTCTTTGGGTACCCTCCCCAGAGCCTCAGGATAAGTTCAACTATCGCTTCCGGCCAAGGACGCGTGTCACCGAGCCCTTCGAGAATCGAGTAGGGATGCGCCTCCCCGATACGCAGGCTCATGCTGTTGTTGGCAGTTGAAAGTCGACAAGCTCCGGCGTTGGTGTCACCGCAACGATATCAAAGAGGCTGTTCGACAGGAGGAGATGCATGAATGTAGACGCAGAAGAATCCCTAGTTTGCCTAGTTGAAGCCCAGGTACATTCTGGCCCAAAACTACTCTGCGTCCTCGGTATCTCCCTCGAAGTGAATTTGTGAGCAGTTTTGATCGACTCACGAGACCTCGGAAAGCGCATGGGAACAGTGTAGGCGGTGGGCACCATGGCTTGTCTATGGATCTTCTACCTCAGTACCACAAGTCTGATCCTACTGGAATGAGGCTCATCACTTCTACGCATGAGAAGTTTGCCGAAATGTTGCGTACGCAGAATACGAAGCCAACGCCGCCGTGGGTTGCCATATGCCGTATCACATGATAATGCATCGTTGTAGGTCTTTACCAGCAGGCAATCGGAAGTTCTTGAAGGCACCTCAGTTGAGGCCTCAACCTCGCCTTCTTAATACACATGCATCATAGCCTTCGCGTCTTTGACCTCCCTCAGTGTGGCTGTTGTGTTGAAGTGCTGAGGATTCACTGCAACGTGTTGATTGGACTGCAGACAATTGGGTCGATACTGGCCAACACTCCCTAATAGCCTGACGAATTAGTCGCTCCGGGGTTGAACTAATCATGAGCTCTTTCAACATGAGGAGAGGCCTGTCACTAGCAAAGGCACGATATGTGACAACATCTTCCCGCATGAGGAGCTCATAATGTTGAAAGTATGTGAAGATGCCGATACACCTCAAAACCATCCTACCGGCTCTAGCTATAGTAGGATACTTCGTGGAAATCAGTTTCCCATACCCAAAATAGCCGATTATAAAGTGTCAGAAAGTTTCAATGCTTAAGACTCATAATTACCATAGCATCGGTCGTTCCGAAGGAGTTCGTGGATACCACCTATACTCTTACAACGCAAGTTCTAGCTCTTGTCCTCCACACCTCCACCATCCCACCGGCACAGCGAACAGTCCCGCAGGGAGCGCTGTATCGTCAATACTGCGGATGAGAATGGGTGGTTAGTTGTCACATTGTGTGCCCTTCCGGGAGCCCATTGAAGTGCTCTGGTTTCTCTTATCTATTGCTGACTCGAAACTTTCACACGTCACGTTTTTCGACCTCGGCACTTGATCGTTGCCGCGCCCTTTGCGCTTGCGGTTTTAGAGGAATTTCACAGCAGTCACGAATGTAACCATCGATGGCGATGGTGTTACGTTTGAGCTTAGAGTGCAAGTTCGATCCTTCTAACCTCTCGGGCGGTTGACTCGAAACGCGTGAACATAATTTCATCAGGATTGTGCGGCTTTTTCCGGGTCGGTTCATCATGAGTCTTATGTTCAAGTCACTTCCCATCTCAACTAGAAGCATAAAAACTCAACTCTCCTCATCGGATCGACAAGCACTAGGCACTGGGTTACTTATGATACTATGACATTAATAGACTCTTACGGAGATCACGGAAATGGCGATCCCGTGTGACGACGAATTGCGGCCGATCGAACAACATCAGCGTACGCGACACAATCGACAAGTTCGAGAATTTACAGACAATCAGCAACATAATATTGCTCAATGACGTGTTCAGAACTGTTGCCCAGTGAGGGCATTTGAAATAGTATTTCTAGAAGGGTTGGTCATACGCTGACAACAGACTCATCGAGGCTCTCAGGAACTGGATGATAATCAGGCGCGTTCTTCAAGTAGTCATCCTCGAAGTACGTAGCTGCCGTCCACCCTGTTGAAGCATCTGAGACAAGCAAGTGTTACTGGACCTTGGTCATTTATGTCCCACCTCCGATGGTAAAGGGGGCGTTCGGAACAACTTTTCCAACGGTGTCACTGCCTGGTTCAACCCAACTGCAGTCGGAATCAATTTTTAGATTCCCAAACTTGATCCTCATGAAACCGTTCTCGCCCCAGAAGGTACCCCAAGAGTTCCGCATAATCCAATACCTACGACATCGACGAAGTCATAGTCTAATCGAGTACCCCGTCATACTCGTCGTTCGTTCCCTCTTCACGACCCCATCCGACGAGACCAACCTCGTGGTTGATCTTTGGTTCCGCCTTGTGCTGATAGAATACACCACCAGTGTAACTGAACCACGGAGCAGAAATGAAATCAGTTCAACTCGAGGCCGGCGGCTCACTCGTCCATTTGCTTCGTGGCGTCCACTCCACAGCTAACAGGACCTCTCTTCCAGATCTCTCGTTTGATCTGATCGGTACCATTCAACAGCCGTGCGTAGTCCTTAGCGAACCTAGCAAGCAAATGTATGCTATTATTACAACAATATCGGTGGTCAGCTGAGGAGGGACTACCAGGTTCGATAGTGCTTGGTGGGACGACATTCACCACCCTCAGCACACTCCAAGCATCTGGCTTCGGCTGGACACCACTCGCTGAAATCTCTATAATTCTTAGCAGCATAATTATGACAAGTATCATGCACCTAATAGATGGAGACTTGGATCATTTCAGAACTGACAAAAACGCCCCCCTACCGCTCCGAAGCCGAAGAAGAAATCATATACTCCTATCTTCTCACCACCATAGCAGTCTCCGCCACCACGACAATTGATAACCTGTAACGAACAAGTGATGACCAACAGGTATCCACCCATCCACCCACCTGCTGCGGGGAAATAGCCTTATTCGGCCACCGAGCCGCTGAACCAATAGAGAGACGATCAGCGAAGGCAGAGGTAACTAAGATGAGCTCCACTTGGTTTGAGCCTGGCATCATGCTCAGTACCCGCGAACGCCCAACAGCTGCCACAATATTCAGGGTTGTGCTGATTACGGGTGAATGTGAGATAGTTCTTCCCGTCAACATTGCGCCAATCCCAAGACTCTGCAGACAGGGATAAGTCAACGAGCACGATCACACTATCATCTACCTGGCAGCTCTTCCCCATCATTCGGGATCTGTTTCCCGGCAACCCGAGGCGCCTATAATAGACCCACCATGCGGAGGCGAACGAAACACACCAACCGGCGGCTTACACAGAGGTAGCACCTCTCACTATCGTTAGCACGGATGTCGTACGCCTGATATGGGATCACTATAATGTACCAGACGACCTCCAACAAGCGCTACTTTATAATACCCTGACCCACACTGGCAGGTAGGGTCCATGCTGCAGACCATCGAGTAGGTCGAACCTATAGAGGATTACGATACGGGCTGCCACAACTGGACCGTATGCTCGGACATTCATTCTCGATGATGGGAATTCTATACCCGCCGGCGCGATTAGAACTACTAGCGTAGTAATCCTGAAAGGGAAAGGACTCATCCACGGAGCGAATTGAAAACCCTACATCCCCGAAAGTTTCATAACGGACCATCTCCTGTGGTCTCGGTCTCACGACAACTTGCTGTTCCTGGGCCTTCTCAGCCACCGGCATACGAATGCTCCCCTGAAAGGCCTTCCTCATCGAAGAAGTGACCGGAGAGTGGTACATGTCTTCCCGCGCCCCCAGCAATAATGGAGCAGTCCTCTGGGACCTCCTCCGTATTAATGCGCTCATTCTCACCCTGATGACAAGGTGAACTAGAGAGCGGCAGTAACCCATGCAACTCATACCGCCCTTATCGACTCTACATATCGTTCGCATTCAGTCCGCTGTGTGACCGGGGATATATATCTAAGGAGCTCCAGTAGCTGATCCATACACCGAATCCTCCTTACTTGACATTCGGATACAACGACCAGTCCTTCCAAGCATCGGGACTGCTCATAACAACACATCAGCTGACCAACAATACGTCGTCACTCACTTCACGGTCGCCCACACACATCCACTGTTTTCTATGAGGCCAGTCGGGGAACGACGTAGCTTGGCCCAACCGTGGTCACCCCATTCAGAACCTGCAACACTGCCGGGTCCAGCAACACTCTCTGATGAGTTTACCGTAAGAAAAACGGGCTATCCAGTAAGGAGTACCTAATAGGGCATTCCACTCGTGCGAGCAGATGAGGCCTACCGTCAGCCTCCTGACCCCATCCAGCGATCTCTACTGCATGATTGATTTCTGCATCCTGGGGTAGATAAGCGAAGTCCCAGATTTGCCCAGGCAAGTAACTAACGGCCGAGTCCGCGGCCTCCATAGTACACTAATGCACTGCTCACTTGGCACGGAAGGTTTCATCAACGTGCATATGGCAAACAACAGGACCACGAGTAATCACCTCCGACTGTATATTGCCCTCTCCCTTCACTAAACCGTACCTGACACCAACCGCGGGGGCCTCCAACCTCCTCCTCCTCGACGACGATCACTTACTGGTCAATATAGAATGTAGAATAGCTCTTGGGAATACCACAGGACCCATCAGCGTCACAATTGACGCATCTACCATAGGGTTAGCTCATCAAGCATGGAAGCCGATGAGGACTACAGGGTTGTGCCTCGACAGACCTCTCCAGAGTCCCTGCCCCTTCCTAAATACGGCGAGCAGGTCTCATCAGTGATACCATGCTCCTTAATCTGAGAACCATGGTATAGGCCAACAACACTGCAGCCGAGGAAGTACATAACGAACTGCATCGAGAACCCGTCCACCCCGGCAACCATTGCCCGCCTGATAGGCACATGTCAACAGAGGTTGGGCCGCTAGGTTAACCTGATGGGATGGCTCAACAGGATAGAACAGAAACCAGCATGAAACCTCTGGGAAGGCCGCCTTGCGTTGAATACGGATTCTATCGGAAAGTGTGTGAGTGAGTGCGAAGGCCCAACATGCAGCACACGACCTACCAACAGCAGAACTCGCCAGGACATCTTATCCTCATTCCTACCCAGGGTTCGAGTGGCTTCGATCAGTCGTGACCAGGTTTTTCCCATCAACATCGCGCCAATCGAAATGAGCTGGAATCACCTGTGCTGATAGCCTTTCCAATTCAGCCAGCCGCTGGTAAACTCACCGGTAATATACGTGGTGCCTCATAGTAGTCCTCTGTAAGGTTGGTCGGAAGGGACGCACAAGGTGGTGCGAAGAGCCCTGGGATGGCTTCTGCGAGAGGGTAAAGGGCAGCATGCGTCCATAGACAGTGACGAAGGGCAACCATTGGTTTAATACGTAGGGCAACTGATTGCAAGGCGATCCTGTCTACAATGCTCACCTCGAGTGAGTCCGTAGAGCACTAAACTGAAGCTTCCACAAACGAGCTAACAAAACAATACCATCCACTAGCGGGAGGAAGCCCGGCCAGTGGGACGACGATCAGCGCAGTATCAAGCGTTTTCGTGGTACCACCAAGGTAGCTCCACTTGCGGACCAATTTTTCAACTTAGTCTTACACAGAACTGCTCCGCATAGGTAATTCTGGGGCGAGCGAGAATTTGGTTGAGTTAATCATCGGACGAAGAAAAATTGAACTTCACTGCCACACTTGGGAGTTCGATTGGGAACCTCCGAATTTGACGATATTTGCAAGGTCGATGGTATTAGATATCCGTAATACCACTAGGATATCGCGCCATCTAAAAGATGAACAAGCTGCAGCCTTCAAGCACGTCGACTCGTGTGCTCGGTATGGCAGGAATGTTGATGGCAGAAACTCGAAACCTGACAGAGTAATCAGATCCCCGAACTGATGTACAGGTTGTATACAACGCAAGCGTCCCAAAAACGCCGTCACAGCACGCACGCCCATGTTTCCAAAATCCATGCACAACTCGTGGACACGCGTAGCCTTGCGGCCTCACACTCCACTGCATAATGTTTCTTCACGAGCTCAATGAACCATCTATAGCCAGAGCTCAATCACTACTAGCACTATAGTTCTACAAAATGTCAGCAGTAGCAGTGATATGTTGAATGAATAACTCTGATATAATTAATCATCATAGCAGAGATAGCGCTGTTGGGTTGCAGCAGGGTTCCGAAACTGTTATCCAAACAACGCGAGGCCATAAACTGATGAAACGCCACAATGTTCAGAGGAATTCACTCAGTGGCAGTATTGATCGCAGTAGGATCGCCGTACATCTGGTTACGAGGCTCTACAAGGATCTCGTTCACGCCGACGTGAGCTGGTGCTGTGAGGGCGAACACTCCCATCTGAGAGGACCAGATAGGGACGGTAGACTGGCAAAGGCGACTCACATCCACAACATCTGACACATCCAGCACAGCGTTGCGGTCGCCACCACCGTCGATGGTCTTGCCAATAGTCACACCTATAGTGTTAGCAGCATCAACATCGGTATTGTTCACCACCTGAAGAGAGCAAGAGATTGACTCGAAGGTGGAACAACTGACTTACGAGATCAGTGCCGACGTCACCGGGCTGCAACTCGGTCACTCGTATCCCCGTTCCGACAGTTTCTGCACGCAAGGACTTTGAAAAAACATGGACGAAGGCCTTCGATGCGTTGTATCTACCATGGACGTCAGTGCACTAATAGCCGACAAGCAGCATTACACCGAGAGGGCTGGGAAGATAGTCGTAGCTGCATCACTAGATATGTTTATGATATGGCCGCCCTTACGCTTGATCATGCTAGGTAACACAGCTCCAGAAGTATAAACCTAGTAATGAAGAGGGATGTGCAAGGAGTAGTAGTGGTAGATAACTATCATCACCACTCCCTTGCAGTTGATGTCTATCGTCCGCTCCCATTCATCCCAATGCTGACTGCGATGGAGCGTGAAGTACATCACTCCGGCACAGTTCACTACGACGTCAACCTGACGACAAAGTCATAAAATTAAAAAGACAGCATGCGAAACTTACCGGTCCGAACTCTCCCTCCACGGTCTCAAACAGAGATCTCACCGAATCTTGAGAAGTTACATCGGTCTTCATGGCCATTGCTGTATACCCGGATCGCTTCAGCTCGTCTACTATCTTCTTTAGCCTGATTAGAAAAAAAATGCCGGATAAAGCATTTCTTTTTCTTCGAGGAAAAGAGCGGTCGTGAGGCAACCTCGATGCACAGCCATCTGTGAGTGCTTTACCTGTCTTCCCTCCTCGCAGCTAAGGCCACCTTACAGCCCTCAGCAGCGAGCCTTCGGGCGAAACCCTCACCAATACCGCTGCTGGCGCCAGTCACGACAGCTACTTTCCCAACCAAGGACGTACGCGCCGATGATGTTGACATTGACGAGGAAGAGGCAACTGCGACAATGGCGCACTAGAACAAGGAGTTCTACGCGGCATCAAATGCATCCACCAAGGCCCGAGACCATGCTTACCTTCTACCAAGAACTCAACTACTCCTAGCAGCATATGGAAACAGGATGTCTTCCACAGGCACTACGCTCGAGTCGATAGCTCAGACATGCACAATATTCGAAAACCATTCAAGCAGCTAAAGAAATGTATGAATTGAGTGACGCCTTTCCCAGGTCGCAGCGAGGGCCCAGGACCGGAGTGACACCGACAGGGCTGCCCCTTCCCGAACACTATTTGCACTACTACAGGCACAACAGAAAATTTGGCGGAACCCGCAACGAATGGTCGCCGAGCCTATCGAGCGCCCTGCCTCTTCCGAGGATAATTCCTAGCTCGATCCGAGACTCCAGATACACTACCTGGTGAGGAGTCCGGTCTACTGTTCACGATACTCCCTGAATCAAACAAGTACGGCTTAGTACCCCCCAGATTGATCAGAAGACCAGTCGGACACTCCCCGAGGCTATGTGTGACCTCTCGAGCCCCTTCCAGAATAGCAGCCAACATAGCGGCCATCAAAATACTGCTATTGTTTATACTATGTAAAAGATGTTCTAAAACCTCATGAGCACTTTTGAGTTGATGATGGCATGCTTTTGTCGTTTTCGTTTCGTTTTTTCGATGTTGACAGTGTTTGTGCAAAATTCGGTTCCGAAGCTCTCACCCAACATTAACTCTTGTGTACCTAAAGTCGAAGCTCACAAGGCTTTGAAACACCCTTCATAATTGTCTTTCCCACATGTGCTCTCCCGATGGGATTTGTCAGTGTTGTAATATATATTCGCCACGTACTCTTCAGCTGATCCTCTCAGGCTCTGTTCAGTTCATTCTAAACGTTACTTACGCCTGGACCCGTTGATGTATACGACATAGGGTGGAAATGTACATGAACCAACCAGAATTTCCCACTCTCCTGTCCTTCAGAGTATCTTCTTCCTCCATGCGTGTGCCACCAGAGGAGATGTGTCAGTGTTGACCATGCGTGTATTTCCCAGCTAATCCTGCGAGTTCCCTCGTTACTTACAGGAGTTTGTATACTACCTAGGGTAGAAATGTACAGGAACCAACCAGAATTTCCCAGGGAAATTTCTTCAGAATTTCCATATTGCCACCAACATATGTATGTGGTTGACCATGCGTGCATTTTCCCACACTGCAAATTGTCAGGCAGAGGAGATGATCGCTCATCCTTAGACTCCTTAAGCTCGGGAAAAGGCATGCCTCTGACGCTCTTTCTCGGAGCAGGCACTCATCTCGCAGGAGGGCGGCGATGCTGTGATGCGCTGCGAGCTCCCGAGGCCTTGTTTTCAAAAGAAACAGAGTGCTGGAGCGCCAACGAACACCATAGTAGAAGCCGCTCAAAGCTACATGGGTAGAACGAAGAGCTAAGGAGGTATAACCCACGTTGTTACCGCTGTTTATCATACACAGAGGAATCCGTATTTTGTGTTATTATGTCTATCCGACCTACTGCACTTTTCAATCTACCTCCACCTATACCTGGAGTCACCAGGTTGCGTAGAGCCATATCCGTAACGTACGAGCCAAGCCAATCGACATCCTTCGCATCCACACTACCGGAAAGCTGAGCAGAATGCGCTGTTATCTATCAAGAATCCGTGCGCGATTGACATTTGGCTTCGCTCAAGCTATAGCGCTTTCACCCTTCCTGAAGACAATCACTTCATTCCATTCACCATGCCTTACACCACCGGTTTCAAGTACGAGGCTGAGCTCATCGCCACCGCCAATGCTATCTGCACTGATGGCAAGGGTATCTTGGCCGCCGATGAGTCCACTGGCACCATCAAGAAGCGTTTCGATGGCGCTGGTATCGTCAACACCGAGGAGAACCGTGCTGCCTACAGGTCCCTCCTTTTCACCACCCCTGGTCTCGGTGAGTACATCTCCGGCGCCATTCTCTACGAGGAGACCCTCTTCCAGAAGAACGCCGAGGGTGTTGAGATGGTCGAGCTTTTGAAGAAGCAGAACATCATCCCCGGCATCAAGGTCGATAAGGGACTTACCGTTCTCGCCGGTACCGATGGCGAGACCACTACCATGGGTCTTGATGGTCTTGCTGAGCGTTGCCAGAAGTACTATGCTCAGGGTGCCCGCTTCGCCAAGTGGAGAACCGTCCTGAGGATCGATGAGGCCAAGCATCAGCCCACTCAGCTCTCTATTGAGGAGACTGCCCACAACCTTGCCCGTTATGCCTCCGTCTGCCAGGAGAACGGTCTCGTCCCCATCGTCGAGCCCGAGATCTTGCAGGATGGCGTTCACACTATCGAGACTGACGCTTATGTCACCGAGCGTGTCCTCTCCGCTGTTTTCAAGGCCCTCAACGACCATCACATCCTCCTTGAGGGTTGCTTGCTTAAGCCCAACATGGTCACTGCCGGTGCCGAGTGCCCCGTCCGCCCTACCTCTGAGGAGATCGCCAGGTTGACTGTGCGCACTCTTGCCCGTACCGTCCCCCCAGCCCTCGTCGGCGTTACTTTCCTCTCCGGTGGTCAGTCTGAGGAGATGGCTTCCGTCAACCTCAACGCCATGAATGTCCTCCCTAAGGAGCGTCGCCCTTGGGCCCTCACCTTCTCTTATGGCCGTGCCCTTCAGGCCTCCACTATCAAGACCTGGGCTGGTAAGGCCGAGAACACCAAGGCTGCCCAGGCTGTCTTGCTCTCCCGCGCCAAGGCCAACTCTGAGGCTCAGCTCGGTAAGTACCAGGGTTCTTCCGATGCCACTGCCAACGAGTCCAACTATGTCAAGAACTATGTCTACTAAGCTCCTTGACGTTCGTTCCCAGATGGTAGAGTGAGGTCTTGTGATGATGGACTAGTCTGCGAATGACTGAGTCGCGTTTTACGCATTCGAGTTCCTTGTTCTATACATTAATGGTTTCTCTCTAATATTCGACGCCTGGAAGGGTTGTCACAAACCGTGTAGCACGACTACTTGTATTGGATTTGAGTTAGTCAATTGGACAGTAGTGACCATTGGTCATTGCGATTCGAATACACTCGAGGATGTGGACGGAAGCGCAGTCGAAGGTTTTTTAGGCGACGGTGTAAAGGATCCGGAAGACTTTTCTAAAGACCATTAGACTTATGGATTTTTCGGGAACTTCGCACTGATACCGGGGTAAAGCAGCGATGAACCTCGGTTTTTATACTTCATCGGCTGAAGGGAAGCTTCGCCTTTTCGTTAGTTCATCTCAAGTATGCGATGGATGTTGATGAGAACCTTGAGCATCGGGACTACGAATGAATATGTTGGTCAGCGGTGCATTCCACGACTTCTGCAACAGATAGGAGATGGATCTAACAGAATTTCCGAGGGTTCTGGAAAGTTCTCCTCGAACAGTTCGGAAAGGAAGTTCTCCTCGAACTTCCTTTCTCCTTTTGAAGAGTTCTTCTCCCTGAGGAGAACTCTCTTGAGTTCTAGCTGAATTATGACCCTCCGACTCGCTGGTTTCATCGTTCCAACGGCTTGTGTCACGAAGCGATGGATTATGGCCATCGAGCCCATATATGAGACTGTGGAACGCGTCGTCAAGCCTTGTCCGCGTTACTATCACATTCTTTATGGACGTGGACGAGGTGGAGCTCCTACTGAACAGTATCGAATTTGATACAGCGAGACAACACGAGGGTAGTCAAGGCCAGATAGAAAACGGCGATCAACCCCGTTTGGATGAGCTCTTAGCTGAACTCGATAGTGTGGTGATACGCCCGAGTTGCCACTGGCAGTCGGATGCCGAGTCTCAGGTAGGCGTCCGTGAAGAGCTGCGGCACCAGAGCACCGCCGATAACACGGAGAAGTAGCTGTCGTTGATATTGAGCTGATCTCGAGTTGGTGTGCAGTAGACACACCTCTGCGAGCCCTCGTCGATGTACTGTCGTCTACGTTGGAGCTCGTTCTGCTCGTCTAGGCAGGAAGAGAGTAGTCATGCGCCGATCCGTCGACTCACCCAGGAGATCCGTCCTAAGATCGACCCTAAAGATGGATCTCCTGAGTGTTCAGTGCCGAAGTCGCCCTCAGAGGGCCTCTATACTGCAGTACAGCACTCAGGTATGTGATAATATCAGATGCCTCACTTGCGACAAACGAGTTATCACACTTGTTGGTAAGCGATGGACTAGGTGAGGAGTATTGCTCATTCTCTGAGAGGGTATCTTCTCAGAGATGCCGACTATATGTTCTTTCGGAACTACTATCCGATTAAAGAGATGCTCGAGAGGGCCACAATGAGGAGCTGGGATCATACTGCATATTGCTGCCAGTGCCGAGGACTGGTAAGGCCACCTCGGGGAGCTATCAGTACTCATTTCAAGAATCACCTGGCGGTGCATACCAACGACGTGATGTCGCCGAATGATGGTATGGAGCATTCCCTCAGTCGACCAACTCGTCCGAGCCTATCCCCATATCGATCGCCGCCCCTGACCCTTCCTTCTCTGATCACTGGAAATGCGGTGGGCATCTCTAATCCTGCCCATCACTAGTGTTGTGTTACAAGAGAGATCTTCGCTCTTCGTGCAGCCATTAATGTATTCTTCGAGGCCCTTCACTATTCTCTCACGAATGCCCTCATTCATTTCACATTCCCTACGTTTGCAGCCTCCATCGGCCCCCTCAACTCAGACACAACACTACGAAGAATACTGTGCTAACTATACAATATACTATTACTGAACTGTTACTACTGTCACTTATATCGAGTACCTGGATACAAACGTTACCATCGCCGTATAGCGCCGTAGAGCGGCGAGTATACTACCCTTTATGAGCCTTCTTTCCCCACTTGACGTCCCCATTGGGATCCAGGGCTTCGGTAAATTCACGAATTTTGTCGCCACTACCGTCGGTCTCATCCACGAGCCCATCGATTGGCTTATGCATGACAATACGGTGAATCCGGTCAGATAGGAGGCCATTGGAGCTCTTGTTAGGAAGTCTGAGAGCAACACAATCTTTTGGACATATCTCGTTGAGGATGCTTACTTTCTCAGCCCCTTCTTTGAGTCGAGCACATACACTGTCTTGTTCATAGCATGGGCCGCAAGTACTTCAACACGCTGATTATGAAAAGATGCAACGCATTATTCCTAGCCATCACTGCTATCACCTGAGGTCCAGTCAAGTCTACATCCTCTGAGGAATCTGTTACTAGAACCATTGCATGGCAGAGGGCAATATACGTGGGTATCTAGTGAGATAGCATGGACGGTTATGAAGCAAAATGAGTACTCACTCCGTTAGCACCGGCCTCTCTCGGCCCTTTCATCGACTGGAACTTCGTCAGGTGTCCAGGCACCATGAAGTACGTCCGTCGGCGGATATCGGGAGATACTGGAAATTCAAGTTGGATAAACGGAGCGAAGCAACAGTAAACTCAAGACCCTACCATCCTTAGACTTCTCACACCACCGACCTAGGGAAGCCAGCAGAGGTAAAGCAGCAGAAAGAGGGCGAGTATCTGAATACAGGATGATGATGAAGAGAGCAGCGCCGTCAGATAGGCAGTTACACAGTGAACACAGTTACACAGTAACTTACACTAGGCATACTACCTTTATCATTGTCAGCTGAGACCCCCCTACCGTGCCGAGACACTCTGTCATTGTCCCTAGTCCGCGATCTCTTCTCACCATCTATTACCCGATCAGACCGCTTCCTCTTATGAGACGAACGATCCTCGAGGAGCTACAAAGCATGACTCTTGGGGAAAATGATAGTCTCTCTACTACCAGTGGGGCATCCTCGTCGAATACATTACCACTGATCGACTCGGCATCAGAAATACTGTTGGTTTCCGGCTGGACATCTGCAAAAAGCCCTCATCAAAAACCGCGAGTGTCAGCATGACCTTCTTACCAGGCATATACAAAGGATCGGGGTTGAGCTGCGTTCGAGGGTACGAGACGTAGAAGACGTTAGAGTCCACGAAATCCTTTGAAAGGGACGAGGCAGAGCACTGAGCAGGACCACCATTGTTGGGTGTGTTATGATTCATTTCAGCAATGTCTTTGGCGAAGAACCGATGATACGCCCTCCGAGAATACTACCAATTTCTTCGCCAAGTATTGGTCCTTTTCCTTCCGCCCTCGCATATCCTCCCAATTGGTGAGATGCTTGATCGAAAGCACACACGGCATTGGGCAAAGCTGCCATTGTTCGAGATACGACAGCGACACAGATGCCCGATTATCTCTTACGCTCCTAAAGTGAGATACACTAGAGTGCAGATCCAAAACGTCGATCGATAGACGTACCGTATTTGCTGTAGAGTCGGGACGATTCGACTGTTACGATAGCTCGTCAATACCTTAACGTTCTCAGGCTTAACCTTCTTAGTAACGTCACCATCTAACAGAACCTAGAAGTGAGCAGATTATGGTATGAATAATTGATGCTGCTGTGGCTTACAACGTAACGCTGGAGCTGCTTGTCGAAGTCCTTACACTCACCGATACTTCCATTGAGCTTATAGGCGGCAATGAGGCCCTGAAGAAAGGAGACCCCGAAGGGCCAAATGCGAGTTCCGTGGTGATGAGCTAATAACACGAGGATAAATGTATGATTCTATACACTGGGAGATTGGTATCTACTAGACGAATAGCACGGGGAGTGGTAAAGGCTGTTACGATGATTAAATACTAAGCCGCATGTGGAGGTGGGCGTACATGATCCGTAGAAAACCCATGGGTTAGTCCTTTTCACGGAGGATGACAGGCTCAAGTATCCTGAAACGCCCAAACCCAAGGCTACACACCCTTTATTTCCATGACAACCTAGTAGAAACGAGAAGAGGCCCATGAACGGTACTTGGAGTTCGACAACACAGCCTGTGAGGAGTCGTCGTAGGTTGGAGCCTCGAACTCTCTTCGTAACGTTAGTTTCGTCGAGTCTTACATCGTATCTACAGAGGAGGGATGCCATGGCGGCGTTGCCTCCTTGTGAGACCCCACCTCTGAGTCAATTGATCGAACCTGACTACTCTTCCTGTTTGGCCGTCGAGCCCAGGGTAGTCTCGTAGGTCGACAAGCCTTACGGCATCACCCCGTTCTATACCACTAATATCCTCATCGTTATGGGTACTCATGCTGGAGTCGGAAGGAGAAGGTAAGACCGTCATTATTGAGCAACGATCAGAATGACAAGTCGTAACGTGTGAAATTGTTATTGAATTTCGTGGCGCGTGAAGCCTCACTCTGTGTGCTCCGTCTTCGGCTATCTTGGCAGAGATAATAAACGCAAGTAGTATTTATTGCCCCTCGACTTATCGACAATGGTTTCTCGTACTGATCGCACTTTCATCATGGTTAAGCCCGACGGTGTCCAGCGTGGACTTGTTGGAAGAATCATCCAAAGGTGAGTTTTCCGTACCATCTGGGATGGTGTTGATGCCCTGTTGTAGGTTCGAGGACAAGGGCTTCAAGTTAGTCGCTATGAAGATGTGCACTCCCAGCGAGGAACACTTCAAAGAGCACTACGCCGACTTGTCCGATAAGCCCTTCTTTGCTGGTCTAGTTAAGTACATGCAGACCTCCCCCGTTGTCGCCATGGTGTGGGAAGGCCTGGACGCGGCAGCCGAGGGTCGTAGGCTCCTTGGCGCCACCAAGCCCTCTGAGTCGGCTCCTGGCACCATCAGAGGCGACTTTGGCCTCGAGGTCGGCAGGAATCTCATTCATGGCTCGGACAGCCCCGACTCGGCAGCCAAGGAAATTGCTTTGTGGTTCCCTGAGGGTATCAACGAGTGGAAGAAGTGCGACTACCAGTGGGTCTACGAGGGCTAAGCTGAGGAGCATCACTGTTGCGCTTTTTTAAGTGTTGGAATGCTTTCCGCTCTTTTCCGCCTCGTGTTTTCAGTGTAACATTCGATAATATATCCGATCGGTCGGGTATGTGAAGTCCGTCAGAGTGTCCATAGGACATGTCGGTCGTGACGTGTTCACCGCTGCTGGAAGGGGGAGCTACCTCTACCTTGGCACAATGGAGTGTTGGAGGGGAGAGGAAGGATGCGGTATTGGCAGTAGCTGTTGAGGATAGCCCAACTACAGCAGAAGTGCTATTGTTCACTGTGGAAGGCGTTCGGGTAAGTGTGAGTTAGCAATACACGAGGGACACTCCTTCTCGTGAGGTGCACGTTACACCGCGGCTGCATCGGTCTAGTGGAGTAGCGTTGCTCGTTTGGAAGGCCCCATCGTCCGAAAGGAAGGGACTAACTACTCTATTCGTAGGCTGGCTTGATGGGGCCCTGCAGAGGATCGACATGGCTGAGAGTAGGATCTGATCGTAGGCTTGACGCGAAGAGGGGCGCATCGTCAGGTGTGAGTGTGAAGCAAGAGGTTGATGTGGTTGAGAGGAGATCGGTCGATGGGGACCACGAGGTGCACATAGTTGCCGGGGAGTGTTGCCCAGACGGGCGTAGTCTCGTCACTGCCACCAGCGAGGGAAGCCTCACTATGTGGGACGTGGATGAGCCTGCTGGGAAGCTCGAGATGTGAGGCTGCCTTACACCAACGTTGGTTATGAGACCCGACCTGCTTGCAGACTCCATAGGGTCTCCTCGAGGGTAGGCGTGCCGAAACATATAGTCTTCCGAACGAATGACCCGTCCAGCCCAAACAGGCCTCCATACGTCTTTGCAGCTGACAGTGGGAGAGTGTGCTCGGTGACCAGTGTAGGAACGCAAGTTGAATGGTAATAATCATGGGCCCTGCTTCCGCCCGGCACAATCGTGATCGATCGCTAGGGAGCTTTTTAGCGGTCAGAAGATCGTTGCTATCTATTTTGAGTGGATCAACATCATCCTTAAATTCGAGTCCCTACATTCACGTGTGCTTGTGGCAGTTATAAGGTGGTTGGGTCGATCAACTATCTGTCGTTTATGGAGGCAGATGACAGAGTAGTCATCCTGAGCAGCAATGGCATCTTGGCGCGCTTCAAGTTGGACACAGCCGGGAAAGTGATAGAAGACGCTAAAATGAAACTCTCCTCGGCGAACCCATCTGAGGTCTCTATCCGTTCCTGGCCAAATGCAGCAGCCGTTTCAGACAAGGTGTTGTTGGGCTGGAGCCGGCCTGCTGGTCACGGTTTCACGAGAGGCGTTCGTACGGCTGTGGAGGCTCCGCTCGGGTGGTAAAGAAGGCAAAGCGGAGCAAGTGAGGAGGCTGGGCTGCTTGCTGAAGGAGGCACCCCTCGTGTAGGCTCACTACCTCATGGCCCTGCAGGACGGCAGCGAGAAGGGGTCTAGACTCAACAAAGACGTCGCTGTTAGCATTGCATTCGATCCAGTGGGACAGTGGGTGTGGACAGTGCTGATGGTCTTCCTGAGCAGAGCCGAATGGTCATCGCCTGTGGGACTGCGAGGGGCCACATAGTGCGATGGAGATGCCTTGTGGAGGATGCTGGGCATGCTACCGATGCAGATTGGGAACCCCTACCCCTCATTGAGGTTTCGTTGTTGACTGCGGCTCAATGGCGTACTCAGTCTCATAGGTCCCTGGAGGGAATTCGATTGAGCGTTTATTCAGTTGTTATCAAAAGGAGGATATTGCCTTTGCCGTAGGCGTGTCCGGGTCGACCGGTGAGGTTCCTTCATGGAGGCGTCGGTTTTTCTTGGCTTCTGTCTCTGCAGGGAGCCCACTCCTATCGCAGTGGATCGTTTCTGATAGCGGCGTCCGTTGGTCGTCGTGCCTTGCCAAGGTTGCTGTACAGACCTCTGCTCATCAGCTGGCCTTGATAGACACCGACAATGGGACCCGGTCGGAGGTTGAGTGTGGGGATGAGGGGGAAGAGAGAGTCCATTTGAAGGTGTTCCTCTCTTGAAACCATCAAGGTTGGAGACGGTGTTGTTGCCAGGGTGTTGTATTGCTGAAAGCCTTCCTCGTGTGTTGGTCACGCGATACAGTGTTCATTTTCACTACCACTGCTAGTGTGGAGAAAGGCACACATGCGACCAGGATATCAGCGCCATCGATGGTCACAGCGACTGCCTGGGTGGGGTGATTCCTCTAGATCGTGCAGTGTTTATGGTCATCATCCCACGTAGTGCTATGACCCCAGTGGTGACGCGAAGAAACCAACCCTAGCGGACTTGACCCTCGTCATAGCTTACCAACGCCGTATTGCCTTCCTCAATGGCAACGGGGCCCAAAAGAAGGAAGTCTGCCAGCTGTTCCCCATAGGGCCAGAGGTCAATACCAGGTGCCCTACTTAGAGAGCAGCGATGGGAGCCCTCGAGCCCTGGCCTGCAGCCCCTCTGGCCTCGTCATTGTGGTATCGTCCACTAGCATCATCCGGGGTAACTCTCATCTCAGCTTAGCATAGGCTAGGTAGAAGTCTTGAATAACTTCAGTGTGGGATCTGGGACGAGGAGCTGCGATGGCGGCGGCGGGGGCAGCGCCTAAGGCCCTGGGAGCTCCGAGGAGTATCAACAACATTGGAGAAGGACAGGTCGTCGAGTCGGTGGCGGCCAACTGCAACGGTGAGTGGTGTGGACTCGATTCATGATATGCACTCCCGACTGTCCTGATTGCTCCGTGGAGATTTCCTCGATGGGGGTCAGCTTTACACCAGTTGTGTCCTCCTTCAGGCAGCCGCGTTTCACTCCTGGTATCTCGACCGGTTAAGACCGCCGATGGAGTTCCCAGACGGCAGATCGACAGCCGTGTTATATTCTATGATATTGTCAACGACATCCTCTCATCGAAGGACTGCAAGGCCTCTGACATCCTCTACACTCCAGTATCCCATATGTGGGACCAGCGAGATCCTCGGGTTATGGCGTGTCAGGGTCGTGATGGTGAGCCGGGGTCGCGCGGTCCTTCAGAATCTGGAAATCTGTGTATCATGCGAGGGGCTTCTGAGGAATGTAAATGAGGTAGCGGCTGCGGGTCAATGGCTGAGGCCCTAGCGTCCTCGACTTGGTCACTTTCCAGTAGGCTGGGTCGAGCTCAATCACAAGTCTTCGCTCAGTTTCTCGTAGGAAGGCGGCAGCTAGAGAGATGTCAGCAGTGGTAGTGTGGGGTGTAATACACTACTGATATTCATCTTAGACGACTCTGGCTCGGGGAGGATTGTAGTCCAGGTAGTAGTGAGCTAGAATGGGATTGTTCCCCCGGGAGGCCCTTCGACATTGATAGGGTACTCATCCATGCCAACGATCATTAGACTCAAGGGCAGTAGTAGGGGTCCTGCCGGTGGCCCTCGCTACGCCGTACATCTACTTCTACGACCAAGTCGATGGAGAGATCACCAAGGTCGTCTATACTGGTCCTCGTAGTCGAGCCCATAGAAGTGCTTTAGGTCTGCCAACGCAGCTTCTCTGGTATGGAGGCGGCCTGTGATGGCCCTCAGGGGGCATCGACGGCAAAGGCCCTCATTGACTTCTCATTCTATCTGGCCAAGGGCAATGCCGATGCAGCCTATCGGGCGGTTAGGTAGAGGGACCGCCTCCGGTTAGCTAGTTGTAGGGTGCATCAATCAGAGCGGTGGACTCGCTAGCAGTATGGGAGAACCTCTGTAGGATGGCAGTGAAGACGCGGCAGCTTCAGGTGGCCAGGAGGTGCTTGGGGCGGATTCAGGTGATACCACTCGCCGGCCAAAGTCTTTGTATCGGCGGTGCCAGGCCTCGGGAGGGGGCGTCCACGGTGTCGTGACGGGAATTCCGGCTGCCGCGCTTCGGGCTAGCTTCGTCTTGAGGGAGGCCGAGGCTAAGGGTGACTTCGCTACAGACGAGGAGGAACTTGCCGCAATTGCTGTGCATCTGGGGATGATTGAGGAGGCTGAAGAGCACTATAAGGAGGCTCCGGAATACTCTAAATTGAATAAGCTGTGGGGGATATCATGGGCATGGCATTGACTACTGCTTCGCTCCGCTGTAGGTACCAGAAGCTAGGGCGATGGTCGGACTCAATAGCTGTCGCTGAGGTTCACGACCGGATGCACCTACCGAGTACCCACTTCGCCTGTGCCAAGTCTCTCGAGGCAAGAGGAGACGTTGATGGAGCTCTTAAGAAGTATGAGGAGGCGGGATCGGCTGGCCTCAGTGAGGTGGGCCGCTCCTGTCGACCATAACAGCTTCTGATCGGGCTGAATCAGATACCGAGGATGTTCCTACGCTTTGGGCTTTTCCAGCAGTTGAGGGAATACATCGACCGCGCAGAGAAACCCTGCCTGTATAAGTGGTAGTGTTTTCGCCAAGGAATCCTCCGGTTAGCTGTGGGAAGGTACGGCCAGTACTTGGAGTCCATGGGCAATGCTGAAGAGGCAGAGCAGTACTATCGTAAGGCTGAGGACTGGGTCGGTGTCTTGGCGGGCTGGACTATGTGAAGGCAGTAGCCATGATCAGGCGACTCTGGTCCGTCTCTCCTGGGTTAAGTCCGACCTCGATGGCGCCCGTAGGATCTGTCGTGAAAGTGGTGACAGTGATGCTACCTACCAGCATGCTAAGTATCTACAACAATACTGTACAGCATCAGGAGGTTGGTACGATTATGTATAGTCGCCGGGGGTGTGGGTCCTGTCAGGTGTCGAGGGCAAGGAGGAGCTACTGAAAGAGGCTGTCGAGAGCTACTCAGTGGCTGGTCGTGTTGGGGCTGCTCTCAGGCTGGCACAGTCTTACGATATGGAGGCTGAGGTGAGGTGAGCTCTCGAGGGTCCCAGCCAGCTCTGCCCACCCTCAGCTCATTAAGCTGAGTATGCAAGCTGTATACTCGGATGAAGGTGCTGGGGGTACAGCCACAGCCGGGGCCATGCAGGCTGCTAGGTATGCCCTTGGGGTGTCTCGACGGCGATGGATGGGAACAGGTTCTATGAGAGCAAGGGAAACTATGCGCGGGCTGCGGCGCTCTACCAGAAGATTGGACAAACGGATAAGGCCATCTCTCTTTGTCTCGCCACGAGGCAATACGATGCCCTGCGGAAGCTGGTAAACAGCCCATATGACAGGCTCAGCTCTCACTGTTCCTAAGCTAGGCTGATGACCTCACTCTCGAGATTACTGACACAGCTACAGTGGAGAAGTGTGTTAAGGTGTTGATAGAACGAGAGTAGTCGGCGGCGACGGCGAATGGATACCCACTGCAGAGGGTATACTGCTGTAGGTATTATGATAAGGCCGTGCAGATCCTTGCCAACACTGATCAACTGGAGAAGGCTGTTGGAATGTGTGAGGACTACAATGTGTCTCTCACAGAGGAATTAGCAGAGAAGCTCACACCCAAGGATCGGTGGGCGGCCGAGATGGGCATAATTCGATAGTATTGAGTAGCCAGGGATCATCCTCGATACAAGGACCTTCTACTTGCCATTGGAGAGATGGCTAAGAAACAAGGCTTGTATGCAGTGGCGTGCAAGAAGTTCACACAAGCTGGGGATAAGATAGCAGCTATGAAGGCTCTTCTTCGGTCGGGAGACACCGAGAAGATCATATTCTATGCGCAGACGGCTCGAACCAAAGAGGTCTTCGTGCTGGCGGCCAACAACCTCCAGAGCCTAGACTGGTGGGTGCTCATGGGTGTATCACGAGACTAGTGCTTCGCTTGGTGATGCATTCATTTGAGCGGGAAGATGCCTCATCGGTTGTCTTAGCTCCGCTGTAGGTACAACAATCCAGAGGTAGAGAAAAACATAATAGCGTTTTATACACGGGCTAAGGCGGCGGAGATGCTGGCACGATTTCATGAGGCAAGCGATGTTCTTTCGCTGTTGAGGATAGTTTGGTAGCCTCCTCCCAGGCTCGGGCTCATAGGGCGATAGATGAACACCAGGACGTGGATGCGGCGATTGCCGCCCTTGAGGAAGCCGTAACGGTCGTCGAGAGGGTAAGAGAGCTTCTACCGCCTGCAGCTGCAGTAGTCACGCTAGGATCCTGGTGCGTCTTACAAGCACCTTTCCGCTGCCCTGAATGCTAGTCTGCAAGTTCTCCGGAAATTTGCCGAGGCCAGGAGATCAGCGAGCACGGATCCTAGAGCGAGTCTTGTGGCTTGCGGTGGCATGTTGCAGTCGTCTGAGTTAACACAGAGTCCTCTACGGCCAGGGGATGTGTAAGTGGCTTGGTGTACACCAGGCCTTTCTACTGATAGTCGTCGTGAACCGATGATTATATGGAGCCCTGTTATCACTCGTGAATTATCGTCTCAGCCTGAGTACGATCAGTTACGCGTTTATGGCCCACCTCTTTGACCACAACGGACAAACTTCAGATGCAGCCGAAGTCGTGAAGAGAATGATTCAAGAAAATATCACTCCCAGTAGACTGAGTGTCTATTAGTAGGTTCGATGAAGAAGATGGTCCGGCTCTCAACAGGTGTTTACATCCCTCGGCAGCTACTACAGAGAATCGGCTTTGGAGGTCTGCCCAAGGAGGCGAGTGATGAGTAAGACATGACCGCTCATGTGCACACGAGCTATGGTCACAGGCAAGCAGAGGGGGAGGTCATCGAAGAGGAAATTGTTGAAGATATTGCCATCTCATGATCCATGCTATCAACAGTGCTTCCACATTATTCTCATGAGAATGCTGAATTTTAATGGAGTGGGGGCATCTACAATTGGTCACAAATAAGAGAGAGAAAGTCATTAAGAGACGTTATTCACTGTCCAGTCGATCAAACTATGGATACTGCTTTCGAGTCAAGCGAGGCCGCACCGTAGAGTCCTCTTATTCATCGATGCCCATGCCCCACCCTTATGGCATCTTACTATGAGTTGGATTTGGCGGCTCACTGAGCAGGGCCCTCCCTGGAGGAGGTGTACACGAACAGGCAAAGAGCATGAGTCAAGTGTTGTTAATGAAGTAACACAATCTCAGAAAGGTGCATCGCACGAGTGAATCAATCATTCCGCGTGGCGGGGAAATGGAGGGTTATTTTTCCAGATGGAGCATTCTCTTCCGAAGAGAGCAGGGGTAAAATCAGAGAACGAGGCATGAGATTCACGATCAACAGTCCGGCGAAAAAACAAATTTAACACACTCCGGCGATTACATTTTTTGCTAATGTTGAGGTTCGCCAATTGCTATGATTTCTGAAGGTGTCGTAGATTTGCTCCTGTGTATGTGCTTATGAGATAGAAACCATAGTGGCACCACAGCAATTATCAGTATGGATTTCAGCCAGAAAATATTGAAGGTTGCAGGCTGGAAGATGCTTTGCGGGGATTCGCAGATTTTTTTTTCTCCTTCTCCAGCTAAAATAGCAGATGTTCCTATGAGCAAAATAGGAATCGGTACTATGTCGCAGTCGGAGTTCCTCGACTGAGTGGTCGAAATTGAAGCTCCCAAATCGACGCGCTGACGGTGCTGAACTTCCTATGGGGGAATATTGGCGCATGGACTCGCTTGCTTGGCGAAATTGAAGTATTTAGTGATGACATAGAGGTTGGGGCCGCTATGCCAGCTGTAGAGTATACCATTCAGAAATCTATTTGTCGAGTGGGGCCGCTATGCCAGCTGTAGAGTATACCATTCAGAAATCTATTTGTCGAGTGGGGTCACTATGCCAGCTGTACAGTATACCATTCAGAAATCTATTTGTCGAGTGGGGCCACTATGCCAGCTGTAGAGTATACCATTCAGAAATCTATTTGTCGAGTGGGGCTGCTATGCCAGCTGTAGAGTATACCATTCAGAATTCTATCTGTTGAGTGGGGCCACTATGCCAGCTGTACAGTATACCATTCAGAAATCTATTTGTCGAGTAGGGCCGCTATGCCAGCTGTAGAGTATACCATTCAGAAATCTATTTGTCGAGTGGGGCCGCTATGCCAGCTGTAGAGTATACCATTCAGAAATCTATTTGTCGAGTGGGGCCGCTATGCCAGCTGTAGAGTATACCATTCAGAAATCTATTTGTCGAGTGGGGCCGCGATGCCAGCTGTAGAGTATACCATTCAGAAATCTATTTGTCGAGTGGGGCCGCGATGCCAGCTGTAGAGTGTACCATTCAGTGGGGCCGCAATGTCCGCTACCGATTAGGATTCACATGCACGAGCAAGAATTGATTTGGCATTGGTATTCGAACAAAGGCATCACAAAATCGGAATCTGATCCGCGCGTCTCGGGTTGTGACTGAACCTGAACCTCAATGAGATAAATGAGTGGATTAGACTATCCGCTCGATTCATGGATCGGGATCCGCAAACCGTTCCTAAACGAAGTTAGCCTTGGAGTATTCACGAGGAAGTGGACTTCTTGTGGACTCTCCCTGTTGTTCTTCCCCTATGGATCAAATGCACTTGAACAGGGTATGCATCCCAGTGGACTATTGAAACGATATTCCACTACTATTGAAGCGGTTTTGTGCCGAACGGTTTGTCATCCGTCGCTCAAAGCATCCTTTAGTGGTTACATTGATGTTGAACTTGAAGACATCCACGCGAGTCACCAGCATCACAGTCGTTACAGCCCTCGCTGCGATCGTTGTGCTATCTCAGTGGCAAGTTACTTCATGGGACTTTCTACGGAGAGGTACACTCATGGTGAGTATTTCCAGTGCTACTAGCTTGGCTGCAATAGTTCCCTCCTAGTCACAACCGACAACCAGACATATTCCACCAGTGCCATCTGATCACCGTATAGCACCTTCTGACCGGGGTACAAGAGTTCATGGCCATGATCAGGCGAACCATTGGCCTGTGCGCAGGTTCACAGCACGCTCATGGAGATCCTCTGGGTGTGGGTGACGGAGAGGTTGCAGCTATAAAGGAATCTAAAGCAGAGCATATCATACTCTACTGGGCCGCTCCTACGACCAAGACGGCTCATTTGGGCCAAGTCTTTGACCTCTGTCCGGTTAGGAACTGTCGGGCCACATGGGACAAGTCAGAGTTACTTCATGCGAGTGCTATTGTCATAACGAGGGACTGGGCTTCAACACCAGGGTGAGCACCTCGCTCCGGCTACTCTGCGGGACCTGCTTCCCACCAGCGATGTAACGTCTTGGCTCCCGCCTCGTCGTCCGGATCAACCCAGGATATGGAGGTTGAACGAACCTCCCGTTGAAGGTCACATGCCCTTCAATCTCTTGAAATCTCTAAGTGGACACATGGATTGGACCAGCACCTACAAGTAGCCTTCTGGAGTCTATTATGGTCTGTTATGATAGACAGTATAGATACGAGAGTGACATATTCGGCGGCTATGGCGCTACAGCGTTCCTGCCAGTGGCACTGCACGACGAAAGGAAGAGAGTGCGTGGTGAGCGGTGTCCTTGACCGGTTCGTGTGTGTCCAGTTCGTGTGTTACGAGTATCGACAACCAGCGGAACTGATCAGGTTTATGACGAGCTTTTAGAGAGATCTCGGTTGAGTGATAAAGCAGTGCTGTGGATAGTCAGCAACTGTGGCACGAAAGCTCAGGGCAAGCCCTGTGGGGGACGGAAGGCGGACGTCCAAAGCTGTCGTAACCACTATTATAAGGAGCTTATCAATCATATTGACATAATTAAGCACGGGAAATGTGGTATGGTCCACGGCCAAGCGGTCGGCGGGTGTGGCAGCAATGATATGGCCTGCTTCGAGGCCTATGCTAGGCGATTCCGCTTCTACCTAGCCTTCGAGAATAGTAGATGCCGATGGTACATCACTGAGAAGCTCTGGAAGGTATACAAGTGGCAGATTAAGGGGATACCCTTAGTGCCAATAGTACTTGGGGCTCCGAAGGGCGACTACGAGAAGCTGGCCCCGCCTGGCAGCTTCATACACGTGGATGATTTCGAGAGTCCCAAAGCACTTGCCGGGTATCTCCACTACTTGATGGGAAACCACAGTGCATTCGCAGAATATTTAGACTGGATTAAGTCGTACAGGATCCTTGGGCAATACTATACTGACTGTCTCCTATGTAACGCTATGAATAATGTCACCGCTAGGAAGGCGGCTACGATCCGAGGCAGCGCATACACTGATCTGCATGCATGGAGTACTCGTGGACAGTGTCAAGCATCCAAGCCCTTGCGGTGAGTATCTACATGAACTTCACCATACCTTATACGGAGAGATGTTGGGTTGGCGGGGTTTTACACTCATCCATCCCCATATCCTTAGTTTTTCACAGTTCCAATGCTATCTTCGATCTGCCGTCAAGCGGGAGTCCGCGCACTTTCTACAGCTACACGACCAATATCTCTCCGCGCGTGCGCTACTGGTTGATCACCTTTATATACGATTCCCCGTGGAAGTGCTACTCAGCAGAGGCCACCTCTACCCTCAGGGGAGGCCATAGCACAGATTGACCTTCTCGTAATCGATGTGACGTCGGAGGTTAAGTAAAACGAAGGTGCCTTGCGTTCGGGAGTTTTGGAAGGGGAAAGGGCACTTGCTCCGCTTCGAGCTTTTGAATCAATTCAGGCTAGCTCTTCGAGACTCTTCCCTATCTCTCGATGAACACGATATAATCAACAGGCTCGAGTATTACATTAAGAAATACTATGTGCACACTTCGATTGTTGCCATCCCAAAAGTGACCCGCGTCCGCTTTGGACTCCAAAGTGACCCGCGTCCTGGAGTCCCTACGAGTACCCCCTGCTTGGAAGCTTGATAGTCCTATTCGGTTTCGATGTCGAGGGTTTGAGTGGCAGAGAGCGTTCCAAGTCGCAGCTTGTTTGAAATCACTCAAGTGATATCCTCTAAATATCCCCGGGATTCCCCCTTGCCACCCTCCAGTTGGACGGCTGGGTTCGATCAGCACTTCCATCTTGCCCCCTAATTTGAACTAAGTTCTAAAGAAGATTCCTATGCGATTTCCCCAGAATGTGCATGATGTACACCGATGATCCATCGGCATAATTTGGAGTTCGCTTTGAGCACCCAATGACTGGGAGTGTCGACTACGCCTCCGATATGGTATCTCTAAACTTGTTCCCGCCCAACCGCCTGCGAGACACATCCCAACAACATCCCAGTGCAATTGGTACGATGGTTGAGACAATGCGAGACTGTATAATGCTTCATGACTGGTGTTCTATGGGCATCATCTCTTCAAACACAGCATAACCATGACTCCAGAATTGGACGCCCTCCCAACGTTCGTTCATACACGTCATAAACACAAGTAGCATGTGACATACAAAATCACACCATTATCAGATATTCATGCGATCCTCCTCGCTACGCCTCCTTCCTGGTCGTGCTGCTCCCGTCTCTATCAAACAAAAGGTCATACATCCGCTGAGCTGTGTCTTCCTCATTGCATGGGTCGACTTCCATCTCGGTAGATATGTTCCTGCGGCCAGAAAACAAATCGAAAACCGTATAGCCCGCGCCCACCTCCCCGCTCTCAAAGATCTTACCTCAGAACTTCCCTCAATCCGGGGACGCGTTCCTCGTAGAGCCCCTCGATCTTCTCATCAGTGGCAACCTTAACATGTTCGTAGCCCTCAGGCAAGGTTAATAGCAAAACTCGGTCAGGGACAATGCGCCACTTCGTCAACATTAGTCGTGCCTAAACAAAACGTAAGCACCCACTCCATGTCGAGAGAGCCGACTTGAGCTCGCGTGTTGGGGAAGCCCGAGATGATCCAGGCTTTGTGGTTGGCCTCTTCAGCCTCCACAGCGGCCGCCATCGCTTCCGCTATCTTGCTGTCAGCATCCGGGCGTGAAGGATCTGTGATCCCTACTGTTATCGGATGAACGTTGCTGAGCGACGCTCTTCTCCTTACCGCGGCAGACGTCGCTGTATTTGATATGCGCCACTTCAGCACCATCGTCCTCGGCCTTCCTCATGGCGATCACAGAGTCACAGAGGCTATTGAGATCGATGCTTGGTGGAGCCAACAGTATGAATCTGTCGAATGAGTTGCGACAGTTCCAGCAACTCGGGCGCGTCATCACCTCCCTTTGTTGCCGCCATGATTGAGCCAGTCGGCCATGAAGTGTAGTGGGTCGGTCGGTCTCTGGAGGAGTACGTCTTGCAGTAACTGTCGCACAGTCTCGTAGATCTGGTTGTGTTTGAAGTACTCCTCCGTCTCGGACTCGAATACTACAGGCACTGGATGCTCGGTAGCTGCTGGCATGTGAATGAAATGAACTGCACATATAACATCAACCACACATCCGAATTGGAAGCTACGGACGGTAGGAACAAGACGATTTATCCCGCCACGCGGTGGAGACTCTGGAACTGACAGGTCTCATCTGATGCCGAGACTAGAGAGAAAGAAGCGTGATGTAGAGACTACTTCTTCAAGCGACTGAGTAAACAGCCCTCCCGGCGAATTTAACACTCTGAGCGCTCGCCAAGTCCCAAACCACTTAGCTGAGGTCATCCTCCGTCCGAGAATCTCCTGGTCCATACGGCTCTTTCACTACGCATGAATCACACCACACACTACACCGTTCCCTAGTCAAGTAAGAGTCAGTTGTTGAATAGTCACATGTTCTGATTTGACCGGAGAACGATGTAGAATCGACAGCTTCGCCGAAGGTGGCGTCATGCAGTCGTCCTTGATATATACGAGCCACATCGAGTTGACCATAAGGAGTTGAGAACCCCTTCGGGCTGAGTCTTCGTTCAGGAACTTCTCGCTGATAATCTCCAAGAGAAAACACAATAATGGAGAAACTCCACGCGGATGCGGTCCGTGCTGCTAGCAATGACCGCATGATCGCCCCAGGTGGTGGATGAGCAAAGCCCTTCTACGACGCTCTTTAACAACATTGAGAATGCATGGAAACCGACAGTTTCGGTATACAGGGTGTGCATGAAGTAACTCTACGAGAGCCCACCACTACTAACTGCTGCGGCAGCAGCGGTACTACTTAGCGTTCTTCAACAACTTGCATAAGTCTGTCGTGCATTTTTCCTGCACTTTGTTCTTGATCAGTAGTTGTTGGGAGGTATTGCTGCCAGCAATTAAGCTGGTAAGCCGTGTAAGGGTGGTCTGTTATGACAATAGTCATCACCAGCAGCAGTAGTCTTCGAGAGCAGTTTGAGACGGTCCTAGATCGGGAGAGAATTGTCGGAAGTGCAATCGAGCGTCGTGAAGTTCCACAGCGCTGCAATACAAAGCCGGAATTCAAACGTGGCGAGGCGGATAATATGCAGTTGGATTTGATAATGGGTTCAAGCCAGCTGAGCTGGCTCGGCTTTTCCAGTCGCCTTTCTCAGCTAGCTCCCTAGAAGTCGCCGTATGTGAGTTACTCACAGTGAGTATAGGAGTTCTCATTGGCTCTTTATCGATGACAACCCCTTCACGGCATTGCATGCCTACATTACTCGGCAGTCTAGGAAAGACTGCAAGGCTTATCCATGGGCCACCGTCCATGGCGAGGCTTGCTGTGAAGCAATATACCACCAGCGGTAGCCAGACCATTCAGAGTGACGAGAAGGCTCAATCGGCGTCTTCAAGCGATGCGTCTCGGTACTTTGGCAACCGCACGCACAAGAAGATATGCTCCGGGTAGGCTGATAGGCTATTATTGTTATAGGGTGATGTTGGTTTCGCTTTGTTGGTTTCAGCTGCGGTTTGCCTAATTTGTTGCCGGCGCCTCGATGCATTGCTTGTGGTAAGGTCGTGTCAGATAGGGACATAAGGCCGGTCGGCCAACACGATCCTCTAATAGAAGCCGTGATGGTGGCCAAACCCACACTGGCAGCGAAACTCAAACAGAATTATAGACCGCAGAGGTTGAGTCGGTTGTAAGTAGCAACCTCGACACAAAAGGGGACAGCTGCGCGATACGGCTAAATGCAGGTTCACTGGGTCAATGCCATCACGTGTATGGCACGCTGACTTTGACACACTCGTTATGGATTGTCCTTGGCCTTCTAGTACTTCAGGTCATCATGTGCTGGGTATCATCAAGTCCTCTAGAAGTTATGATATAAGGTGGCTTCTGGGGATGCGTCTTAGCTCGTGCTTGTCTCTGAGCATCCAGTTGGCTAGCAGTTGTCGTACAATGGAGTTCCACCTGTGATATGAAAAACACTAGTGAGAAAGGTATTGCACGATTTTTTTTTCACGGAAAACTATTGTGTTGTCGGTCGCGAAGACATATACGTCTTAGAATTTTCATGGAGTATTATGCGCGACTTCATGTTTGACGGGTGGAACGTCATTGATTCCTTCGCATAGGTGCTTAAATCGACGTCATGTTCAGCTCCTTGATCGTTTGCATGCTCAGTGTGTTGACGCTCTACGGCGATCGCTAGTAGCAGACAAGGCACTGTCTACAGAGGTCGCAGTGGAGTTGCTTAAGCAAGCCCAGTTTGGCTTTCGATACCCCTCGGAGTTTTCGGTCATCTCCCTGCATGGCCTGTGTCCTCCTTTTGAGCCTAATCTCGGTATCTTCGCTCCGCCTCATTGGATGAGTTTCAAAGCAGTGCGGGAGGTCGTGGGCAAGTCCGGGAAGATAACAGATGTATCGGCATGCCTTCCGAGCTCGTCAGTGGTTGGCAGTTTACCGAAGGCCCTCGTGGAAGCTCAGGACATTGGTACTCGACTCTTGAAAGGCTCTAATAGTTGATGACGTTTCTGTGCATGTTTCCATCCATCGAAGTTGTCTGTCCTTTTGTGTTGATGGAATGTTCATTATTTTCTTGCAGGTTTCTATTTATCAATCCAACCATGCTTTCCTCGGTTTCTTCATCTGCCTTCAACACAATCTCGAGACGATTCCTTGCCACAGTTCGCGGTGGCCAAATTGCTAGTGTTGCTGCCAAAACTGTCACTGTAGCCTTGGAGGACGGCTCTCAAGCTACTGTTCCCCGTCCTGTTGGTATTGACAATCAGTGGTTCCTCCCTGGTAGTCATGCAGTGTGTGTTGACGACAAGTTGGGTATGGTCACCAACCCTGAAGGAGCTGTACTAAAGTTCGAATGCATCCATCCCGAGTTGAATGGAGATGACCTGTGCCCTGATTGCCCTCGCCGGAAGTTCGAGGCGAAGAAGAGTGATTAGAAGTCAGATATTTTTATCTGTCGGCCTGTCACTGACATTGCTGTCATTTTCTCGTTTACTGCTGAACTGTTGCTATCGCAACTGGAGGTTTCAAATTCAGCCTGATCAGCTGTTGTTGGGTTACAGTACTAAATAAGGTATGTTGATATAGTATTTCCATTCGAGATGTCTAAGCAGCCAACAGCTTTGGAACGTCTGGCGATGAAGTGGGAGGCACGCCGGGCTGCTCGAGCGGAGGGTAGTGTTGTACCTCCTAAACCGGAGCGTAGAGGAGTACCATTGGAGAATCCACGCTCAACGAAAAAGGCTGGTGAAGATTCCTCGAGCGACAGTAGTAGTAGCAGTGATGAGGATGATGATAGCGACAGCAGTAGCAGCAGTAGTAGTAGTAGCAGCAGTAGTGGAAGTAGCGACAGTGATGAGAGCAGCTCGTCTAGTAGTAGCAGTAGTGTCGATAGTAGTGCGTCTGGCAGTAAGCCAAGGAAAGCGGGCAAACACAAGCGGAAGTAGGTTGGTGTTGTTGGCATGTTTGAGGTCGTTTACCCGTGGGTCAGGTTTAAGCCGAATACGCATATGCTGAGTGCCTTGGTGAAGGGGCAGATTAGGACGAATGAGCGGATGGATAGGGAACAGACTGAGAATGCTCAAGAGAGGTAATACACGCGGTTATGGAGATGATGGTGATGATCGATTCGTCTTGAAGGTTGGATACTATGGACGGTGGGAGATCCTTCACGAAGGTGCGGATCATGACCAGCTACCTCACTGAGCACGGTTCAACAGGCATTGCCGCTGGCCAGGAAGCGTATTATGATGATGATGCCTCTGCACAAGAACAGTGGGATGAGTGGGAAAAGCAAAAACGCTTTAAGTTTGGTTCCTAACACAACGTTCATACAACTTCTGTCGTGTTGCTTATTACGTGCGGCTGCTTGACCATGAGTGTTATCGATTATTTGGGCGCGCGCGGTTTACGCTTTGCATCGCTGTCGGTGGCTTAAGCATGTTTGGTCCTCGTTACAACTCTACCATTAATAGTGTTTACTTCTGTTCCCCTAATAATCATGTCCCCCAAGCCTTTCGTCGGTGGTAACTGGAAATCTAACGGCAGCGTCGAGTCCATCAAGAAGCTTGCCCCTGCCCTTGTTGCTGGTGAGGCCACTTATAACAAGGATGCTGTTGATGTTGTCATTGCCCCTACTGCTATTCACCTTCCTTTGGCCATGGAGCAGTTCAAGGGCTCTAACATCCAGATCTCTGCTCAAAACTGCAGTAAGACCGGTCCTGGCGCCTACACTGGTGAGATCACTGCTGAGATGATTAAGGACGCCGGCCTTAACTGGACCATCCTTGGCCATTCCGAGAGGCGTCATCTCTTCAACGAGACCAACGAGGATCTCGCCGCCAAGGTTGCCAAGGCTGAGGCTGCTGGCTTGAAGATCATCTTCTGCATCGGTGAGTTGCTTGAGGAGCGTGAGGCCGGCAAGACTGAGGAGGTCTGCGCCACTCAGATGGATGCTATCGTCCCCGTTGTGAAGGATTGGAACAATATCGTTATTGCCTATGAGCCTGTCTGGGCTATTGGCACCGGCAAGGTTGCCACCACTGAGCAGGCTCAGGAGACCCATGCCTCCATCAGGGCCTATCTCAAGTCCAAGGTTAGCACCGAGGTCGCCGAGAACACTCGTATCCTCTACGGTGGCTCTGTGAACCCTGGTAACTGCGGTGAGTTGATCAAGTGCGCTGATGTCGATGGGTTCCTCGTGGGTGGTGCTTCCCTCAAGCCTCAGTTCACTGAGATCATCGCCGCTGCCGCTCAGTCCGCCTAAGCGGATGTTGTACTATTCGTGCTGTTGTATCATCGTCTGCTCCATTATTGCAATGGACCGCGGTGCTCATTCACGAGTGTCTCTCAAGGGGTTATCCCCGCTTAATACGAGTAAACCATAGTGGAGTTGAGTTTTGTAATCTGTGCGATTTTGGAGGAGGGCTGTAGTCTGATAGTGTTCGAGTCGTGATGATGATGGTGGAAATGTGTAGTTGATCAGCTTAGGATGTCGTCAGGATCAGCGGTTGATGGTGAAGGGATATCATCGGGATCAGCGGTTGAGGGTGAAAAAGATAGTGATGACAGAACGGTCAAGATGAATTCCTTCAAGGCGGATCAGCTGGAGAGGTGCAAAATACTGTAATGTATAAGACTCAGTGGGCACCTCTCGTGTTGGATTCACTTTGCATGTAGGTTTCGTAAGGTCAAAGAGAATGAGAAGACCTTCAATGCCTGTTTCTGGGGTAGCTCGATAGTGGTTGTTGGTGACGGTGTGGTATGCCTAGGGTGTGGGGACTGGGCTATGTGGAGCCCCTTCTGTCTGCAATTGATCAAGGCTCATGTATTGAGGAACCATCGGAAGTGTAGGGCAAATGAGGCTGTTGACGGGGTGAGGTATCGGTCTACGAAGGAGCCTGATGGGTTTAGGATGCCTACGTGTCTGGAGGAATGTCCGACTACTGAGGCGACATTGGCGTTGGCAAGAGACTCACCGGAGGCTTTGAAAATGTGGAGGCTGCAGGCTCAGACAGCTTATGGTCGATGGGGTGTTATTAGGGGCATCATGGCGGGGTCTATTAGAGGGGATGTGTTACAGCCACTACTGGGCAAGGCGACTCCGGACGCGCGACCGTGCCGACCTAGGGCTATCAAAGTAGACGGCGGCAAGCCAAAAGGTGCTGCTGATAAGGGGTTTGTTGATGATGGACTACTAGACGGTGTGAAGCTACCTGGCAAGGATGACATGCATAATCACGACTGGCATATGAAAGAGATGCGTCGATGGTATGGTATCACCACTGAGAAAGCCGAGGAGTTATATGCTGCTGGGGTACGTCAGGCGTGGCCAGGAAGCTCCTTTCTAGGCCATGACTATGAATTTGTCGACTGGGACTTGTTCTGTCTGGTGTGCTATGAACAACGTGGGCGGGTCGTTCATGTGGTATCGGCGCCTTCAATGGAAAGCCATCTTACTGGGAAGGAGCACAGGAAGTCTTTGGATTGCCTCGCTGGGGTGAACCCATCCTCGGCCGCTACTGCAATGGCGATGGCTAACGGCAGTACCACTACTACCACGGTGACAGCAGACGAGTTGCCGCCTCCTGGCAACCCAAATTTGAAGGAGTGGCATGTGGGCCAGATAGTGAAGTGGTATGGCGACAAGCAAGCGGACGCCGCGGCGTTGTATGATGCTGGTATACGGCAGGGCTGGCCAGGTTGTGAGCTCTTAGGAGATGCTTATGTGTTCAAAGAATGGGAGATGTTCTGTATGTTATGCTTCCGACAGAGTGGTAAGGTGATTAAGGCCATGCATCCGGACACTATGAGGCAGCATATTGGTGGAAGGGGTCATAAGAATAACGTCCAGTGGGCGTCTGGGGGGTGGCAGCAGCAGCAGGGAGGCCACAGTAGTAGTAGCTCTCGTATGGTGACTACGTCCTGGGCAGCATCAGCTAGGCCTAGTGGCGCAGCTGCTGGGGGGATGGGTCAGCAGCCTGTGTCCTCTGATGGATGCAACATTTCCCCCGAACGAGCGGTTCCTGAGGGAGAATACCGGCAGATAGGAGTAGATGCTGACGGGGTGCCTCCACGAGATATGCCCGTTGGCCCCCGCCTGCGCCAACCGGAATGCGAGTAAGATGGGATGCTGTTGTGTGTAGCCGTTACCACCCCCTCATAGGTCCTTCGAGGAGCATCTCCCAAATTGCCAGCTGTGTACATCGTCAGTGCTTGAGGATATACAATGCCAGTAATCGTGGCATAGTGACGATGACACTTCGCTGTTCATGGTGGTGGTGTTAGGCACTTCGTGGAACATATCGTCGAGGGTGCATGCCAGGACTGTCTCGTGTTGATCTTTCGTTTTCGATTCAATAAGCGTCCACATTCTGCGGAGGCATCCTTCAAGTCGAGCTCATCAGAAGTGGCATCGGGGGGCGGGTGTGAGCGGAGCGCTCCTGCCCAGCTATCTGAGAGGAGGAGAGGCCAAGGTGGCGTGGCTGTGAGGAAGTCGGCGCGGACTGTAGAATCGGAGGTTCAACCTCAGCCCTTACCAGTGAGGTGATGCTCTCATCCCTATGGCTCGTTGTCAGACTCCCTTTGGTCAGGCAAGTCCAAAGGTGGCGTCCGAGCCTGTCGGCTGGCATGCCTCGCTACTCTAACCAGACTCCACCCAATCCTCAAGGTTCTCACCTGCCTACGGGAATGATGCGCACTTCTGGAGGTGTCTACAGTAACGTCCCGTACTCTCAGCCGGCCCTTCCATATCGTCCCCATGAGTCGATTAACATGGTGGATGGGCATCGGCCTAGTACTGCCCATCACCATAGCCAAGGTGTAGGGGGATATAGACCACAGCGTGGACCGGACCCGGCATCAGGGTATCACCGGCAGGTGTACCCCTCTGCAACGTCACCAACCTCGTCGTCGTCATCGTCGTCTAGGCAGCCATCACCGTGGAAGTCCTCCAATCGTGGTGGGCTCTCACCGTATACGGCTTATCGTCATCAGTGTCCTCCACCTCCTGGCCGAATGCCTCCATCTCGCCGCCCACAATACAACAGGGATCCCCCCTACGGCGCCCCACCACAACCAGCAACCACTCAGCGTCGTCCCAATGCTAGAGTCTACCCTCACTCCCGAGTCTTCGGAAGCACTGACCCTATATACCCTCCGTCCCGGGCTCCGGAGAGTGAGGGTGAAGTCGTCTAAGCCCTATAGCCTCAACTCCATCGTAGCCGTCTCTGAATTCGTGATATGCTTGGGATTGCTTACAGTAGTAGTATTTCTAATGCTTACTAGTGTTGTTGCTCATCTCATTGTTGACAATGAGGGGTCGTCGTTATGGTATAGATCCCTCAATGTGGTCGTTTCTATCATGATGAATATATCATATTCCAAGAGTTGCGTTGGGCCACCCATCTTGCACTCGATCGTCATTGAAACAGTTGTCGCTCTGATGAGCTCGCCACCTTTACGAAATCCTCCGGAATTCCCTCTCAGAGTGTACCACCAAACGGCTAGTCTGTTATAGCTGGTGGCATTGCTGAATTCTTACAAGATGGAAGCTGCTGGGATCAGGCTGCTTAGGTTCCTGTAGCATTCGGTAGACTCCCTGTACACCCGGGCTGGTGGTCTGACTTGCGATACCAAAAATGCTACGATTCACGATTGACACCCCAACAGCAATAGGATGATACCGTTGTTCTGGTCGGGTCTTGTCTTGCTCTATGTTGCCTGACGACGTCCCTTTGCAACGTATTCGTCTTCCTTATGCAGGAGTCGTTAGGCCCCGCATTAGCTGTAGCCAAGACCATCACAGTGAGAAAGTGGTATAATACCACTAGTATTATGGCTGAGCCTGAGCTCTTAACGGCGGGCTTTTCAGGTCGTGTCAGGGTTGCCATTCAACCACGGGATAATTCTCGTCTGATGCTTGGCGGTCGGGGGAGTTTTTACAGCACCCATTGCAGAGAGACGAATCAACGAGTGTACAAAGTCGACTTCGGCTTCCGGGTCGGCGAGGAAGCGCGACTGAGGCTCCAACCCCGTTGGGCGTGTTGTCTTTATGCTGTTATCGTTGTTGAATATTGAGATAGTATCAGTGAAGTAGGTCACTCCTGAGGAGCAGCCGCTTTTCTCATCACTAGTGTCCCATCATCGCTCTATTACCAATGAACGAGCCAGTGTTGGGTTAATGTGGGAGCGAGCGTCACTTTCCTTCCTATTGCATAGGCCTCTTTTTCGATCCCCTCGATTGAGTGATGTGTGAGGCAGCTCCTGTGATGACCCAAACTGAGGTCCAAGCCGGACCGTGTAGAGATGGTAGGAACCTCAAGAGTGAGGCTGATGTTAAAGGCTTCACTGCGGAGGAGTTTACTAAGGTTGGGCCGTCTGTGTGTGCTATACAATCAGCTATCCCCATGCACTGTCGTGATAGGAGCCTGTCAAGGTCTGTCCTATGCGTCATCAGGGATCTCCTCTACATAACAGCATGTGCTGCTGTGCAGTACTCTCTGTTGGCGTTAGTACCCCCGGACTCAACCCTCCTGAGGGCAGTCCTCTGGGGTGTTTACATTTTCTGGCAAGGCGTCTTTTTTACTGGTATTTGGGTGATGGGCCACGAGTGCGGCCATGGGGCTTTTTCCCCTTATTCTATGCTGAACGATAGTATTGGTTTTGTCCTCCACTCGGCCCTCTTGGTACCCTACTTCAGCTGGCAGTACTCCCATGCGAGGCACCATAAGTTCACCAACCACGCTACTAAGGGTGAGAGCCATGTCCCCAGCCTGGAAAGTGAGATGGGCGTATTCAGTCGTATACAGAAGGCCCTGGAGGGTTATGGTCTCGATGATGTCTTCCCAGTCTTCCCTATAGTGATGCTCCTGGTTGGGTATCCTGTGTATCTCTTCTGGAATGCATCAGGTGGGCGTGTGGGCTACGATCGCCGTCCGTACAGCGACACTAAGCCATCTCATTTCAATCCCAACGGTGGCCTTTTCCCTCCTTATATGAGAGAGAAAGTCCTCCTTAGTGGAGTTGGCTGTAGCATAACCCTCCTTATTTTGGCCTATTGTGCTGGGAGGGTAGGCCTTAGCAGTGTATTGTTGTGGTATGGTTGTCCCTACCTTATGACCAACGCCTGGCTAACGCTGTATACCTCCCTACAGCACACGCATGAAGGAGTCCCCCATTATGGCGATGAGGCTTTCACCTTCATCAGAGGTGCCTTAGCTTCTATCGATCGTCCACCGTATGGCATTTTCTCTACGCATTTTCACCACGAAATTGGCACCACTCATGTTCTGCACCACATTGATTCTAGGATCCCCTGTTACCATGCTAGAGAAGCCACTGATGCTATCAAGCCTATTCTGGGGGATTACTATAGGGAGGATGGTACTCCTATAGTAAAGGCATTTTTGAAGGTCCACAGAGAGTGCAAGTTCATCGGAGGCCTCAACGGCGTCCAGTTTTACCGTCCTGGGCAGCGGCCGCAGCAGCAGCCCTGCGGCAGCAACGCTCGCACTTCTCGTAGGTAGGAGATGATGGGAGGTTGTGTATGCGCCGAGTGCAAGGCGCCCTTCCTCCTTTCTCAATATGATGATGAGGATTTTTATATTTTATCGCTGAGTATTCGACAGTGGTAGTGTCGCATATTTCAATCGGTAAGCCTTGTGTTGCATCTAGTGGACAGGGGTTTATATTCGAATCACATATTTCCGCTACTGACAACGAGGACGGCAGTGCAGTCACTCTATCCTGCTTGTTTTAATGCCGTCCCTTGCTGTATCATGTCTTCTCCTCATCTCCATCGTACTTATCTCAGCCGCCACCATCTTCATAGCGGCCTTATGGTGGATTTCTTATAGGATCATTACCCGGGAGGGCAGTAGTCTCACATCGAAGGTGCGCCCTCCTTGAGTTTCCCGGGGCCG